GTTAATAATTCAGTACTACAACTGGTAATTGTGTTTAATGTGCTTCTGGTTTCTACTTGAATTGGTAGTATAACTCCTTTGTTTCATAAGTTTCAACAGATGCAAATCCATATTTCAATAATTTCCCCTCTTAATGTTCAGCTTGCACAATATCTAATTGTCTTACATGCACTGGTCCAACAGTTTGTACTACTTGTCAAAATGGATATTTCTGGCAAACATCATAATATCTTCAATAACCATCAAATGGATCATAAGGAAGTTGTTAACCATGTATGTAAGGATGTTAGACTTGCTCAAATAATCAATCATGCTAAACTTGTTTCTCTGGATATTATATGGTCTATCCATATTCAGGAATTAACTATTGTTAACTTTGTTCAACTGTTCCTGCCATTTCTAATTGTTTGACTTGTGATACTTCCTAAACTGCACCACATGCTTAATCATTAATCCCAACATGTAGATCTTGTCCATCTGGATATTACTTATATAGTGGAAAATGTGTTGTATGTACTGGTGGATGTTTAGCTTGTGATGCTGATAATAGTTGCACATAATGTGTTTCTCAAGGATATGCATATGATTAAACAAATAAGAAATGTGTTGCTTGTTCTACAATTACAGGATGTACTTCATGTTCTTATAATGGAACTCAATTAAATTGTTCAGCTTGTTAAGATTTATATTATCGTAACACTACCAATAATATTACAACATGTTCATTATGTAGTGCATTAGCTGGTAAGAACTATTTAAGATGTGTTTCATCAACAAGTCCAACATAATGTTTAGATAATTTCTATTTGAATGGATCCAGTTGTATGCCTTAAATTTCTAATAATAAATGCTTAACCTATGATAATAATTCAGGTTGTACATCTTGTATTACTGGATACATTATAGTTGGTAATACATGTTAATTATGTACATCAACCAATGCTTAATGTATAAAATGTTAAGTAATTGCTAACACTGGATCAAGTTAATCTGCTTCTTTACAATGTGCTGCCTGTTAAACTGGATATTATTTAACAACATCATATGGATGTACAGCATGTCCAAATGTTAAAGGATGTGAAGCTTGTAATTCTGCTGGATGTTAAACTTGTTCTTCTGGTTTTTATCCTACTGCAGTTACTACAGATACCAATAATTCAACTGGTACATCAACATCTAATAATACTGTCACTTGTAACAATTGTGTTTCCAACTGTTAAATTTGTTAATAAGCTAATGTAATACAATTTTACTTATTTTTAGTCTTGTACCAAATGTGCTGATGGTTACTTCCTTGTTACTACCACTACCTCTGGAACTACTTCAGCCACTACTAGTAGTTGCTTTGCTTGTCAACCAGAATGTTAAACTTGTGTTGCTCCAGGCACTACTTGCACATCCTGTATAGCTGGCTATGTGTTCTAGAATGGAGGTTGTGTTACTTTAGCATAAGCTAATTGTTACTCTGTTGGAACAAATGGTTGTGCTATTTGTAAATATGGCTATTATTTAAATAATGGAGTTTGTTATTAATGTCTCAACCCATAAGCAGATGTATTAATTATTAATATTATCTTAGTTTCTATGTACAAATCCAGTAGACAACCTTTTCACATCAGCAACACCATAATAATAATGAAAAATTAAAATCATATTAAAATAATTATATTTTATTTCCAATATAGATATAGATTATATCTCATGATCTATCCTCAAAGATCACACGTGAAGGTTTTGGATTTTATATCCAATTATGTCTATAAAAGGTAGGTCTTTATTTTCCTGCAATTGAACTAAAAATCTATCTTTTCCATCATTACCTTTCTGCAAATATATACCAAATGGCTGCAACTGTTAAAATATTCAATTTTCCTACTCTATTAGTCCAATACCATCCTCTCTATGCATAATAAACAACAGCGCTGTTTTAAAATCGTGCAATTAAACTTGTATTCATTATAATTATTATATTAATAATAATAATAATTATTTATATTCCTCATACTAATTTTTATTTTTTCAAATCTCATTTTTGTTTATTTTTCAATACATTTTTATTATCCAATTAATATCTCTATTACTTAGGAATGAAAATGTTAACACAATCTAAGTATTTCACTATTCAAAAAAAGTCTAAAATATTTTTTTTCGAGTTTTTAATTAAAAAATTGATAAATCTATTTTTAGTATATATGATCATTAAACATATAAAAATTTAATTTTAGTGCCAAATATCCAGCCTTTCTATAAATTGAATAATATAATGGATAAAAATAATAAGAGAGATCTCTAGTTTTTTTTATTTCAATAAATCAATAATATATGAAGATTAAATTACCGCCTTTTTTTAATACATTTGTTTAATACAGTAAATAAAAACCAGATTCAGCTGTGTCTTAATTCTCTACCTATTCAGATGAATTTTTTTCAATTATTATCATTTATCGATAATAATATAGTTGTATTGACAATTAATTTCAGATAGAATCAATCAATATGTGATTAGTAAAAATGCCAAAAAAACATATAACAGAAATTCCAATAGATTAAATTCATCATAATCCTAAGATATAATATATAAATAAAATATTCATAAGTAAAGAATATACAAATCAACTATCCTTTTTGAAATATTAAAATCAACTATGAAAATATGTGGTTTTCATTTAAGTGAATAAGAAGAGATAAATAAATTTATATTGTATAGGTCATTCTTAATTGTTTTATAAACAGTTTTTGTTTCTATTAATGTGTTTAAAATGATATTTTTTTAAAACCTAGTATTACTGATCAGAATAATGAATTGAGAAATTTAAATATGCATTAAACTCAACCTATATAAATGATTAAATGAATTTTGAACAAAGGAGATTGTGAAGACTATGTTATAAGATATTTATTAGAACAATATATTTGTTTAGGTATTTGATAAAAATAGGAAAAATCATGAGTCTTTTTCATTTATTAGATTTTTTGATAATCTTTTTGGCTAAGGCATACTTGAATCTTAATAGATTTAATTAATTGATTGTATCAGGCTTAAATTCAAAAACCAAAATGTTTTATGTCTACAATATATTAAAAGGTTGATTAATTAGGACAGTTCGTGGTTCTTCAATATTTTGAACATTCTCTTCGTTTTTATTCTAATTTTTTTGGTACTCTTAGTCTTTTTTCATAAATGAAATTTAAAGAAAATGACAAGCTTAAATAAATTATTATAATTAATAATATAATTATTATGATAATATCAGAAACTTATAAATTTGAATTACGATAGTATTTAATTAATGATAGAAATTAATACATATATTTTTAATACCAAAAAAAGTGAAACTTTTGTGAAGAATTGTCTCTAATATAGTATTATTAAATATAATCTATTCAAAATAGATACATTAAATATTATCTAAATAGATCATAATAGAAGAAAAATGTATTTATTATATGAAATTCTTTGAAAAACATACACAAACTATATTATTTGTTTATTTTAATATGAATTTGTTGAACTTATATGAATATGATTAGGATTATTCTCCTTAAAAATTTGATGCTTGATATATAATTAATGAATATTTAACAATTTCAATTATTTTTAAAACAAATATTCTTTTAAGATTTCCAAGATGACTGGAAGTAGGAATATTTATTTATTTTAATTTTTAGTGGTTAATTATTAATTATTAATGATAATTATAATTATTATTATTTAAAATAACACAACTAGTTACAAAACAGATATGAAATGATTATTATATCATTATGCAGCAGGTTCTTAACTTTTGACTAGTTTGAAGAGTTTAGATACTTCACCAACTTTGGAGAATTCAATACAAAATGCTTATAACTAAATTTTATTAATTCTTACATCAGTCAGAATATCTTTAGTGATGAATGCTTTTTATTTAAGCATTTACTAGATAAAAACGGAAACAAACCTAACTAATTTATTCTGTTATTATTTTTCCTATCATTATAAGATATTTGAATTACTTTGATATTATTGCAAAAGTCTATACAATAATTAATATATTATGTGATATATTCTTATGGTAATTTGAGTTCTCCAAATAATTGAGCAAACAATTCAAGTGTATTCTAAGTGACATCAGTTTAGATGAAAACTTCTAAGAATCTAAAATTGTAAATAAATGAATACTCTTCGAAGCCATCTAAGTTGCATATTTAAATCAATAAAAAATGTGCAATTTCTTTATTCTTTTCAATAATAATAGGTAGTCTTTGACAAGTGAATCCGCAATTTTTAAGTAAATCTTTTTCATTCGAAAGATAATTAAATAATAACTAATTAAATATGAGGATTATATTTACTCTTTATTCATCATCACTGATTTCAGTTGTACATGTTTTTTGTATGATTTCTTTTACTTGACTCAATTTATCATAATTAATTTCTAGAGTATAATTCCATTAGACATTCATTAATAGAATATTGTCATTCCATTATGGATCAGATGTTATAATATTGGGGATTGGTCTTAGGTAATCTGTCTGGTATTAAGCAAAATCAATATTAAGAGATTTTATTTTATCCATATGAGTATATGAATTAATAATAAATAATCATGTTGGAATAAATGATTATTGAACAGTCAGATTGGAAAAAGCATTGACTGAGACATTCATAATTGGTAAGAAATTCCAACCTTCCAGATTGATTTTATGAGGTAATTATGATTCTTGAATATTAATAGGGATTTGGCAAACTACTGGGACTGACAACCAAGTTAAGAAGGCATCCTAATAATATATTTAGATTATTTTAAATACAGCAATAGCTTCCATTTATAAAAAGTATTAATTTCTAATAACACTAGTTTTTATAGTAGCTCTAAGATTTTTAGGTATTTCTAGAGATGCATTTTGTCTTTCTAATTTTTAACCAGAATTGACTCCACCTAAACTTTATTGAAATACTTTGATATTTTCTATAATTCTTTCTATTTCATCATCATCTATAAATGTAATTTTATTTATCAATCTAGCTTCTACTCTGCTAATTGATCTTTATGAACGAGTATTATCTAATGTGTATTCTACTTGTATTTATTCACCAGGAATGAAATTATTTTTGTTTAATTTTAAAGAGAGTTCTACGGTTCCTCTATTTAAACATAAATATTAAACAATATTGCCTTCACATTACCTAAATTATTCACCTTCTGAAATTACTCTTCCATTAATAAAAACATCAGCACTTTCCATCATCAAAGTACTTGCTTCATCAGGTAAATCTACTCTTAATGTTACCTTATATCCACATTTAGCTTATTTCAATCCTATTTCAAATTGAATAATTTACCATCTTCACTTTTATATGAAAAGCTTGAAGACATATTATATTAGGTAGGAATGCTAAATTAAAACTTATAATCTCCTGGTTTCACTTATCCAGTATATAATTCTTAAGTATAAACAAAAGATTCATGTGTTCCATAATGTCTAATTACTCTATACATAATTTCACCATTTAACTCATATTTCTTTTGAGTTTGTTTAGGTTATCTTAATGGAGAATCTAAAGTAACTTAAATCCTTTGAGTTTTCTCTACTAGTTTCTCTGGAATCATTTAAGGATTGCTCTGATCATAAGGTATCTTAAGTTTCAAAAATTATACTATTACCTATCTTTTTTCAATGATCTTGGAATACATTTTAGTTTAAAAAGTCAAAACAATTTAAGCCTTAGGTATTTCTTCTGTTATTCTTAAGTAACATTCTCCTCGAATTTGATCACCTGCTAAGGTAACGGGATCGAAAAACTTAAATAAAACATTCCTATTCATTAAACTAATTAAAGATTTAATTTAATCATTAATAATAATCACAAATCTCTTTAAAGAATTCTTAGGCTAAAAAGCTTATCCTATCATCCTTAGAATAATAATTTTAATAATCAAGTTTCGAAGCTACATTCTTTTTTTATAAGTAATATATAAATAAGAATTCATATTCAGTTTATTTAAATTATTTCGAATATATAATTTCAATGCTAACTTACTTAATTAATATATCTATTACTTTTCTCAAACAACAAAACTAGTTTATAGTCAGTGTTATCTAAATCTGATATATCATAATCAAATTTATTAATAATTATTTCTTTGCACAAATAACTAAAAAAATTTTGAATACTTAATAAAATTGCCCTTCTTCTATATATCATTTTTTATAAGGTCAAAAACAATTTTAAGTAATTTTTAATTTGAAATTATTAAATGTCCATTTATATCACAAGATGCCATCAAATTATTAAATGTCACACTTCCATAAAATCTATAATTTGTATTTTAATTATGCTTTAATAATTTAGAAAGTGCACCCATAATTCCTAAATTCAAAAATTTAGTACATTCATTCAATTCTGATGTATATGATAAATTAATTAAAATAAATAGAAATTATTTTGAGATATTTATTATCCTTATTGTAAATTAAAATCATGATATATTACAAATAATTTTCTATATTCTCAATCAACTTTTTAGGCTATTCTTAAAAAAGCAATGACTTAATTATCATAATCAGTACTCTTTTTAATACTTGCAAAAATTCTAATTCATTATTATTATTGATTTAAAGAGATTTTAAAACAATTTTATTATATAATACATGGATATTTTGGTAAATGCAATTTTCTACTAATTAATTTAAATCTCTTAATCCCTATTAACAAATATAAATTCTCTTTCAATAAACAGTAATTAGAATATATATAAGATTTGTAAATTTAATCGAAATATTAATCTACATAAAGGCATAGCCTTTTCTACTTACTAATTATATAAGGCAATTTTATACTTTTATAGAAATTACATAATACTTGAAATAAGAAACTAAATAAATTGAATCTATTAAAGTTTTTATAATTCTCAAATATTCTGCCCATTCACAAAATAAAAATTGATTATTTATTATTGTCTATTGAATATCATCTAAAATTGATATCATTAATTAATGTTCTTAATCGTTCATTCATTAAATCCCATCAATTATTATAATAAATCAGATGATTATTAATGTTTTACTTAGATTATAAGTAATCTCTTTCAATTAAAATGTTTATTCTTAAGTTCTCAATTCTTAATGAAGGTTCTCTCTCATTTCTCTAAATCTATTTGAACTTATGCACATGGATGTAAAATATTAAAAATTCTAATTTAGAAGGTTCTATTATTTTCAATTAAAATTATATGTGTGCTTCTAAATATTTGATTTCTAATTATTATCCATTATATGATTAAAAGATAAAAATCTAAATAAAGTATCTCTCTAGAAGAATAAATTGATGAAGATAAAAGAAAGGAAGATATTATCTAAAAATTACTATAAACAAGTACTAATTTACAATACAAATAATTACCAATAATAAAATTCGATTTGAATGAAAATGAGCTATAAACAAATGATATTATTTATCATCCAAATAAATAATCTTATCCAGAATATATAACACCACAAATTGTATAAAACAATCTTGAAATGGTTAAAGAAAATCTAAAAATAGTAATTCATGAAAAATTTGAAGAATCTAAATGTCTCAATTGGTTATAATTGATTATTGAATTCATCAAAGTTATGGCTTATTGTAATGTGTTAATATCAGATGGATGCTCTAATCAAAAGACACTATGGTTTTTTCTAATGTTTATTCATGATGTAATCTTGAACTTTAAATTTATAAGATTGCCTAAATTGCAATTATAATTAAAATTGTTAACACAATACCTGCTTAATTTAATAGTAAATTGAAGACAGAGAGATTAACTAAAATTAGGAGGGAATCCAAATATCCCATGGCTGGTAGATACTCATATTATGGATAATTGATGTCCGATATAGATAAAATTGAAAGTCAAATGTATTATTAAAATGATTAATCATAAACTTCAAGATCCATAAAATATCATTCACTAGAAAAATATAATTAAATGTAGCAAAATTATCTTATATTTATAGTTTTTATCTTATTTTGGTGATTTGGGGAATTCTACAATTAGGTTAAATTTGTTAATCAGATATTGTACTATACACTTTTTAAGGTTTCATTATGTTAGGTATTATTACTTTAATCTTAAAATTTATATATTTTCTATCTTTTAAATTTTGTATTGGAGTTGTTATAGCAAATTATCTTATGATTGCTAAAAAAAATATTGAAAATAATGTAATATATTAAATTATTTAAATTTAGGAAATTATTTAGAATTTAATAAAATAAACAAAAAGTAATTATGAATTTGAAATTTGTTATTTATGCTCAATATAGATTAAATAATTAACCTAATATATTGATTTACCTTGTAATTAATTGTAAATTTATAGATTTTAATATTATATAGACATAGATTTCATGATAAATGCATATCAAAATGGTTATAATCACATTTATGTTGTCCTGTTTGTCTTGAACCAATTGATTTGATGACTTTGTAAATGAAAGTACTGGCTTGAGTTATTTTGAAAAAATAAGTATAGAGAAAATTTTATAAGTAGATTGAAAAACTTTTTAATTTCATTTATTGTATTATATTAATTTATTTTAATATTTTTTTTATTTATTTTTCACATTTGATCACCTCCCATTGATGCCATTAACATATACATAGCTTCTTCCAATTAAGCCATAGCTTATTGCATTTCAATATCAGTAAAATAGGCTTATATATATAAAATATCTTTTACCTTAATTCTACAAAATTTTCATCATATCTTCCTCTTCGATTTAAAATTTCTCATAAACTAAATCCCCTAAAATAGTATTAATTGCTAATGGTATTAATTATTATGTTTCTTGATTTGCCTGAATAGATATATATAAGATATTACAGATAAGTTTTATATAATTTGTTTTAATTCTTATGGCTATTGCTTTAATACTTGAATTTAGAATTTAATAATCTGTTTTAACATTTCAAAAGTAATTTCTTTGGTTGATGGAAGTGAATCTTTTATTTTTTATCTAATTGATGCTTATATCATGAAAAATTATTAATAGAATCCTCTTTCCATTAATGACATCACACTGTCTTAAAATTCAGTTTCTTTGATTTGTAAGAAGTCACAAATCTCCATTTACTTTTTCTCTAATAAATTTTCAACCTATTCATTATAATCTAAGACCATTTATTGATATTAATCATTTTAAGATTTCCTAATAGCTCTTCTCTCTAAAATATATAAATTTGATAGCTATTACATTTTCTATTTTCTATAGTTATTTAACTGTAATCATCTTTTGCTAAATCTAATGATTTTTCTAGTATTTGTGTAATTGTTGATATTGAAATCAATTATCCTTATCTTTCAACTGATATTGATCTAACAACTTATTAGAATAGTTAATCATAGCCTTAATTCGTACTTTCTTTAGGTTAATAAGATTTTTGACTGATTTGTTTAACATTTTCTCTAGTTGATTCACCTTTGGTTTGGACTTATTCATCAGTAGGTTTAGATTTTCTAAATGAATGTAAAAAAAATACAAAATTAATGTTACTCCTACTAATGCTGCTAATCCTAAACCACCAAATACCATAACTTTTCCTTATTTTTTGGATAATGTAGAACCCATAATTAAAATAATTTAATACTAAATTTATTTATTTTCAATAATTAATTCTCACCTTTTCTTCTTATCTGAACCAATGGTTATTTATTATTATGTTTATGATGTTTCAATTTTCTCTATCTTTACAACTAAATCATTTAATATTTGCATAATGGTTTATTATTTCTCTAATATATGTTATTTCTAATATAAATACAATTGAAATTTCTTTAATAAGATTTTAGTTGTTCCTCCATTTCTAATTTTAATACTTCTTAATCCTTTTTAATACTACTTTCCAACTCTTTCTTTCACTAATATTAAATAAAATACTCTCATTGCTTGGTACTTCTAATCTTATCTATTTTAATTAAGCTCTATAATATAGAATAAAAAACATATTACTGATGCTCCAATAACATATTTATTTAAACATCATGCTTATTCAAAGTCCTTTAAACTTGATCTTCTACTTTCTCTTTATCTACTGCAGAATATGTTCTCTAATGAGTTGATCGTATGGTTTCTCTTAATTTTAAAATCTCATTCTCTACTTACTTTTTCATCTATTATAATTATATTTATTGAATTTACATTAGAAATGAAACGTTCTGTTAATTTAGTAATCAATTCCACAATTAATTTTTGAACTTAATCGATCAATTATTCTCTTTCTAAAACGTTCTAAATCTATTCAACCATTTATGATTATTTATCTCTTTTTCCTAAATACTAAAATTTTCTATAATTTTATACAGCATCCACTGCAACTTGTACTTTCTTTTAAAATTCCTTTTCTTCGTTCATAAATTAATATTATAATATTTTTATATTAAAAGATGGGAGCCTGTTCTGGCAAATAACCACAGAAAAAATAGGTTTCTTAACCTAAATAGATTGTGTAAGTTCAATCCTCAAAGTAAAATTTTCTTGCCATTTGGAATGATCTCAATTCATGTCTTAATCTTGTTGATAAAAATGTAGATAATGAAAAATCTATTGCCAAACTCAAAACTCTTTTTCAAACTAAAGGAACTATTGAAGAAATGATTGTAAATTAAAGTAAAAGAGGAGGCAGAAATGTCAATTAAGATCCTTTATAAGACACTGCTTTCTAATATAATCTTTATTTATAAGTAGACAAAATAAATAGAATTCTTTCTGATTATCTTCTTATTGATAGAGCATTCGAAGATAAAAATAGTCAACTCTTTGATAAATTACAACAAAGTATTGACAATATCGAATAATATCGATAATCAATTAAGACAAAGCAAGGAATCTGGAAATAAAACCAAAGTACAAATTTTAGTAATACAAATGTGTATTGAACAACAAGGTATTTAATTAATTGATGATTAAAAATTTAGATTGTATTATATTACTTAATAATATATTAAAATTAGAGTAAATCATTAATCTTTGATAATAGTAATAATATTTCACATATATCTTAAATAGATAAATTGTATGTATATTTCAATAAACTATTTAATTTTATTATTTCTTCCTGACGAGAAATTCTTATTAGAAAATACCCAATTTATAAATCTAATTTATTGATAATTTATATTTAATTTTTAATAATTGTGGATTTTATATTAATATTTTGAATTTGATTGATTACCATATTTTTATATTAAGTAATTCCCTATTAATATGTCTAAAATAAGAGCTATAGCATAGATAAATTATGTATTTCGAATTAATTATGTTAAAAATGACAAGTATTAATTGTTAATTAAACATTATGAATGCAAAAATAGTTATTCCTTTTTCTTCTATAATTTAATTAAAATTTTTAATCTAATCAATGTTACAACACCGTGCTTTTGAAAGTAAGTTTTAAAAGTTTTATGTGATTCGAATAATTTAAATTTGTGAATCCAAAACTTTGAAAGTTGGATTCAAAGAAATACGAGCATATTCTAATAGGCAATCTACAATAACTAAATATAGAAATAGAAAATCTATGGAATAGGTATATTAAGGGGAAACCTATATATCTACAAAACAATATTTGTAAATTCTAACCTAATTTCCAAAACTAACATAAACTATTAAATTTTCTGAACATTTTAGAAAAAAGTTGGGATCAAATCCTTAAATATAAGCTACTGTTAAAGAAACAGTATCTCTTATAATGGAAAAGCAAAGACAGTAAGAGTAAGAGATAAGGACTAAACAAGTAATATAAAATTTTTTAAATCATCGATCTATAAGAAATGCTGAATAATAAGCAAATAAAAGTGCTTCAGCTACAATAATAAAATAATAAAACTTTGATATTAAATTATCAATCAAAATATTTTTGGTAACTCTCCTTGTTTTTATTTTCTTATATTAAGCCAGTGGATGTGAAAGTTTTTTATTTTGAAAGATATAAAAATAATTTATAATTAAAATTAATCATTTATTCCAAAAAATTTTAAGATTAATGTTCTATACATTAATACTGTAACATTTATTTCAATAAATACTAATTAATAATAATTTTATTTTATTACAGATATGGAATCAGTATATATATATAATAAATATTTAAATAAGTCAATCTAAAAAAGATAAATCACATTTATTAATGTTTGCTAAAGGAAAATCTGTTTATATTTTGTCATTTATTTCTTATTATTAATCTATATTAATATTTTGAATTTAATTTGTTATATCTTTGAATACTTCTTATTCTTGTGAATCTGAGATATCTTATTATTATGAATTATCATCTTATAATTCATCATTATCTAGATTTTAGATATTTGAGGGATCTTCAACAACTTTCTCTAAAAATGTGTTTTAATTATCAAATTCATTTGGAATACAAGATTAGGTTTTATGAATTTTAACTAATACTACAAATTTATTTAAATCAGATGGATAATCATGTTCTGGTTCTAATTTGTCTGATTAATCAAATATATAACATTTTTGGCTATCTTTATATGTAAGTAAATCTTTGAGTTCTTCAGTAGTAAATTAATTTTATAATGATTTTTCATCAACAATATTTTAAGATAAATTTTCTTTAGTTAATTGTCTTTACATAATTTTCTCTTCATAAGTACCACATGTTATTAATCTATAAATATGAACTTATTTTGTTTAACCATCTCTCCATATTCTACCCATAACTTAAGAATCATTTGCTGGATTCCAATCAACTTCAACACAAATCATTTTATTTGCACCAACTAAATTTAATCCAGTACCTCCAGATTTTCCATTTAATAAAAATACTGTAATATCTTTATCTTTATTAAATTCATCAACTAAAGTAAGTCTTTGTTTTTAAACTACTTTTCCATCTAATCTCAAGAATTTAAGATTCCATTAAATTAGATTATGTTCAATTTAATCTAAAGTTTATCGATAATAACTATTGATTATTATTTTTTCATTTTATTCTTTACATTAATCAACAATAATTTTTAAACAATTAAATTTAACTGACTAATAATCTTGAACAACTAATTTTTCTGCAACTTAACTTTCATCATCTTCAATAAGTTTAGGATGTGTAGTGACTTTTCTCAATAAATTTAATTACATCATAACTGAATTAGGACACAATTATAAACTTCTCTTATATAATATTTATTATTATGGAGTCATAGTGCAAAACATTAAATATTCAAATTTACTAGGTAAAAACTATAATTATTATTAAATAATAAAAATTTACTTTGCTCAAAATTTCAGGTTTTCTTCTTAATATAAATTAACTTGTTAAAGAACTTAATTCCTAAGATCTTAATTTGCCTAATTCAATACTTTCAGCACTAGATCCCTTTTCTATTGACATTTCTATTGGATCTTAGAAAACTAATTTAAAAGTCTTATAAGATTAAAATATTCCTGGATTAACAAAATCACAACATGCATAAAACTCTTTCATGTTATTTTAGATTGGAGTTCCACTTAAAACTATTCTTCTTTTGCATTTTAATTAATTCATAGTTTGAACAGTTTTTATATTACTATTTTTTAATCGATGTCCTTCATCACAAATTAATAAATCAATAACTTTATCAATTTCATTACAAATATTTCTAAATGTTTCATAAGATGTCAATAAAAGATTATATGGAGAATAAAGAAAATATTTTACTTACTTATTAACTTCATCTTTAGTACCAATAGCAGTTAATGGTTATAATCTCATTGGACCCAACCATTTTTTTATTTCTTTCTCCCAATTTCCAATCAATGAAACTGGACATGTAATAACTATTTTTGATATTTCATGTGATTATATCAATATCCACATTAAAGTAATTGCTTATAATGTTTTACCCAATCCCATACTATCTGCTAATATACATCCTCTAATAGATTTTCCTTTTTTGCCTGTTACACACTCTAACATAAATCTTACTCCTTCAATTTAATGTACTCTCAATTATTTATATAGAAATTAATCTATATCAAAACCTTCTAAAATTGTAAATTTAGGTTCAACATCTTATTATTATTTTGATTTAAAAATTTTCTTAGGCTTAACTATAATTTTTTATTCTGGTTCTGGTTAAGCCATAAATATTTTACCAGATTTAAATTCATCTATAGAAATTTAATTCATGAGTTCAACTATTTTTTATTACTTATATATTAAATACCATAATATTAACCCATATAATATTGTGAGATATTATCATAAATTTGATCACTTCCTGCAAATAATTATTTAGATTCCATATCAAATAATCTCATTCTTTAATTCTCTATCACCAAAACACCATCAAACATTTACTTTTTCTTCTTTCTTATGTCTCTTGAATATACAACCTAATATGCAGTTGAAGCTCTCTATTCTTCAATTACAGGTTTCTCTATTGAACTAACTTATTTTTTAGGTTATTTGAATGGCGGCATGAAAAAATTTAAAATTATAATAATAGCTTCATTCACTTCAAGCTGGTTTTTTTCTTTCCAATTTCTATTTATCTCTCTCCATCTCTAATTATGAACTTATTCTTATTGCTCTCAATCCTTAAAAATAGTAATGTCCAAGTATGCATAACAAAGCACCCAAAGCACTTACTATTCCAAATACCATTGCAAATATATCAACTGGAAGATAAGAATCAACCTAATCGGAATCTGTCAAAATCTGGCTTTTCTTTGGAGATGCTGTAAATATTATGATCAATATTATTGGAATTAACATCGTTAAAAGACAAACTAATCTTTTAATTGCCGTATTGTTTACTCTGGAGATCTTGTAGATCTTCCGAAAAAGAATGTGATAAGTAGGGCTAATACAAACCCTGCTAATATTGCTATAGTACCATAACCTAAACCTAAGGCTGTAGCCATTTAATTTATTATTAATTAATATACATTCACAATTATTTAATATTATTTATTAATAATATAATATAAATAATTATATTTCTCTTTTATTTACCAATTAAACCTATGCAACTTTCACAAAACTCTAAACATGATTACCTAAATATCTATGCCAACAAACTCTTAGCTAAAGCATCCAATATTCATATGAAACCTAGTGAAATTAATCCTCCACCTAGAAGAAAAAGTATGATTGATACATATGTACATTCCTTAAATAATGATACAGAATAATGGAGTGTTAGTATTAAAAAATCAATAAACGAAAAAAATAGATCATGCAGTAATTTGCATGATTATTAAGATGAATTGAATGGATCACTCTAATAATTACAATCTTCATAATTTACAATAATGAATTAGAATTCTAAACTTATGATGCTTAAGATTGAAAAGAAACTTAAAAACTTTAAATATGCTAAAGAGAATAATCATAACATTTGTACATCTACAGTAGCTAAAATTAAATGTTTTTGTTTAGATAACTAATGCTTTGATTTCTATCGTTGTACAGATCTCTTATTACTTAAATATCTAATTTATGTATTACTTCAAGAAATCAATTCATATAATGAAAACACATAATCTTTATAGGATTAAATATTACCTTCTCAAAAAAGTGAAATCAAAGACACAATTACAGCTATGTAAAATACAATAGATATTTTAAAAAACTAAAAACTTTTTGATAAAAATAATGGTAATCCTATTGAAGATCTAGGAAGATATATTAAAAAGATGCAAAATGTTATTGGAATATAACATACATCTTCCCCTAATTATGATTTATTTACTACACCTTAATCGAATATGAAGAAAAGAGAATTTGTCTTTTAACCATCAAGTGTTACATAAAAAAGAGAATATAATTAAAATACACCATCTATTAATTCATAAAAAATTATCTAATTTTAAATTGATGAATTATAAATGAAAAATGAGGCCATTACAAAATTAACATCTAAAATTAATGATTTAGAATTAGAAATAAAAATGATCAATAATTAACTAACAGAAACTTAAATGAATTTATAGATTTCACAAAAATCATTATCAAATAAAGATACAGAAGTAAATAAATTAACAATCAATATAGCTTAAGGATTTAATAAAGAAAACCGAAAAGTTATTAGAAACAACTAGTTTAGCTGTTAAAGAAAAAGATTAACTTTAAGATTATTATAAATCCATAAGAAATGATCATGAATAATTAAAAACATAGTTTGATGATTTGTATATTATAAGATTTAATTTAGATAAAAGTCCAATCAAAGTATATTAAATGAATGTACAATCTTAAAAAAATCATTAAATGACTCAGTTGAATCATCCTAATAAAAAATTAAAAAAGATGATTAAAAATTATAATAAGATTTGCTTCAAAAAAATAAATTGATAGTAATTATTTATTGAATATACATAGAGATAATTATCTGAAGATGGCAAAATTTTAGGTTAATACTTAAAAGATATATCTTCTCAAATTTAATAAATTCCTTCTGATTAAATCCCTTAAAATCTATAAATATTATAGAGGGAATTATAATTTAAGGAAAGTTTCATCAATTCAAAATTAAATAATATGCATCTTGCTTAAATTGACCTAGTAAAATCAAATAATGCTAATAATAAAGATAAAAAATCAAGAAAATTAATGACTTCTCACAATTAACTAATAGATTAAATGTAGACATTTTAAGTAAACTCTGATCTAATAGCAATGATGATAGTCTAAAGTGAAGTTATTGAGAAATTTTTGAATTGAATATTTGTACAGATCTAATCTAATCCTATCAACTTATAAATTGTATCTTTAATCATATTATGTGGTACATTTTACTATATAAGAGTAATTTTATAATAGTAAATGTTTTATATTAATAATAATAATTTTATTTTTTATTCGATTTTAATATTAATTTAAGCAATTTATATTATGATATTATTTATAATATTCATCTTATTTAAAATGAATTTTTGTTTTAATATTTACTTATTTTTATATGATAATGACTTCTTATTTGATCTCTTTTAATATATTATATATCAATTATTAACTAATTATATAATTAAATGCCCATTATAACGACAAAATTAATAATTATATTGAGTTTATACATAAAATACTTAAAATTAATTATGTTGTTAAGTCTAAAAAATTAATTATATTTTAAGAATGAAGGATGCCTTAAATTTCTTTATTTCATATTAAAAAAGGTTTATAAATTAAGGTAAGTTTTAATAAATCTAATACAATAATTAAGCTTAGTATAATTTATCAATTCTGCAAAAAATTCTGTTAGATCTAAAAATGAAAATATATTTTTCGAAAATAAAGATGAATTTACTTATAGACAAAGCATTCTAATTATTATATTCAAAATTTTTTATCAAAAAATGTAATACATTATTGAACAATTGAATTTTAATATTTTATTGAAAATTAATATTTTGGTCTCNTTAACTAACAGAAACTTAAATGAATTTATAGATTTCACAAAAATCATTATCAAATAAAGATACAGAAGTAAATAAATTAACAATCAATATAGCTTAAGGATTTAATAAAGAAAACCGAAAAGTTATTAGAAACAACTAGTTTAGCTGTTAAAGAAAAAGATTAACTTTAAGATTATTATAAATCCATAAGAAATGATCATGAATAATTAAAAACATAGTTTGATGATTTGTATATTATAAGATTTAATTTAGATAAAAGTCCAATCAAAGTATATTAAATGAATGTACAATCTTAAAAAAATCATTAAATGACTCAGTTGAATCATCCTAATAAAAAATTAAAAAAGATGATTAAAAATTATAATAAGATTTGCTTCAAAAAAATAAATTGATAGTAATTATTTATTGAATATACATAGAGATAATTATCTGAAGATGGCAAAATTTTAGGTTAATACTTAAAAGATATATCTTCTCAAATTTAATAAATTCCTTCTGATTAAATCCCTTAAAATCTATAAATATTATAGAGGGAATTATAATTTAAGGAAAGTTTCATCAATTCAAAATTAAATAATATGCATCTTGCTTAAATTGACCTAGTAAAATCAAATAATGCTAATAATAAAGATAAAAAATCAAGAAAATTAATGACTTCTCACAATTAACTAATAGATTAAATGTAGACATTTTAAGTAAACTCTGATCTAATAGCAATGATGATAGTCTAAAGTGAAGTTATTGAGAAATTTTTGAATTGAATATTTGTACAGATCTAATCTAATCCTATCAACTTATAAATTGTATCTTTAATCATATTATGTGGTACATTTTACTATATAAGAGTAATTTTATAATAGTAAATGTTTTATATTAATAATAATAATTTTATTTTTTATTCGATTTTAATATTAATTTAAGCAATTTATATTATGATATTATTTATAATATTCATCTTATTTAAAATGAATTTTTGTTTTAATATTTACTTATTTTTATATGATAATGACTTCTTATTTGATCTCTTTTAATATATTATATATCAATTATTAACTAATTATATAATTAAATGCCCATTATAACGACAAAATTAATAATTATATTGAGTTTATACATAAAATACTTAAAATTAATTATGTTGTTAAGTCTAAAAAATTAATTATATTTTAAGAATGAAGGATGCCTTAAATTTCTTTATTTCATATTAAAAAAGGTTTATAAATTAAGGTAAGTTTTAATAAATCTAATACAATAATTAAGCTTAGTATAATTTATCAATTCTGCAAAAAATTCTGTTAGATCTAAAAATGAAAATATATTTTTCGAAAATAAAGATGAATTTACTTATAGACAAAGCATTCTAATTATTATATTCAAAATTTTTTATCAAAAAATGTAATACATTATTGAACAATTGAATTTTAATATTTTATTGAAAATTAATATTTTGGTCTCACATTTAATTATATTCAATTAAATCAAGTTTAATACAAGGAAACCATATTATTATTCAATAATAAAGGATTTAATTTATATAATTATTTCTAATTCTCCCTTTATAAGTTTCTTATATAAAGAATTTAAATAAATAAACTTTCAAATAAATTATTTCAATTTAGAGACATTATGGGAAAAATTAAATTTTTCTTAGGATATTCTGTATTAGTTTAACCTATATTTTTAAAATAACAATATATAGCTATCTCATACTAACGGTAACCTTAGAATAAGTGATTATCTATCATAGTATTTTTGATGAGAAGTTAAAATCATTATTTTATTATTAACTTTGAGTTATCCAATTATTGATACTAAAATCATAAAATATGAATATAAATATGATTTTGTATAAGATTATCATAGTAGCAATAAATAAATATAAATACCATCTTGTAAAATAATAATTTTTGAAGTTAATATACTATAATAAAATCACATGAATTTCCTTAAGTAACATTATCTACAACAATATACTTAATGTTATCCTTTTTTTGTTCCACATTCTCCTTTTGTTTCACTAGATTAGAAAAGAAGACCTTTCTGAACATAAAAATTAGTAAAGCAGCCATTCTATGAACATTCAAAATGTGGATTTTTAACATCCTTACTTGCTTAATGATGATGAATTTTTGTGAGAGTCGCCAATAAAGTTACTGATTATTGCATTTAATATATTTTTTTTATTGAATTGGTTTAGTTGTAAATAAAATTTACATCTTGAATAGCATTAAAATTCGTTTTTTACTATATTAAGTATCTAATTTACCTTTGATATCTAAGTTAAAACCTAAATTATAAAAAACAAAATAAAAGAAATCCATTTTTTTTAAGATAATCTTAATTTTTTTAACAAATATTTAAATTCCATATAGAAGAAATAATGGAAAATAAAATAAAACTAAATAAAAAATATTATATCATCCACATATTCAACATTCACTATTATAATTAAAGCTGCCATAATCTTTTGATAATTGAATATTTATTTAATATAATATTTTAGGATAAGTTTAAAAACAAATAATAATATTAAGTTTTTATTATTTAATAAAGAAATTTTATTATTAATTTATAAATAAGAATTTCAATTTGCACATAGCTAAACTAAACTATTAATTATAAGCAATAGCTCTTATTTCATGCACAATAATTAAATTTTAGAATAACATTATATGAATATATTTATAAATTATTTGAATTATTATTATAGAAGTTATTTTATATTAAATTAAAAATAATAAATTTTTAATAAAAATATATTAATTTATGTTATTGAAATAAAATTGGTAAATGGTGAATGTTTCATCCTTTCAAATTATTTTTTATGAACAACGAATTTATTGAAAAGAGATGCAAAATAATTCATTTGTTAAAATATTCATAAAACTTTCATATAAAATAAGTGTCAATTTTAAATGAATTATAACTTATAAGGATATCACTTTAATATTCATTTTATAAATTCTTTAATTTTAGGATTATAGAGTATTCTGATTGATATTATTATATGTACAATTATCTAAAACAATATAGTCTTTAATTTAATATTTTTATTAATATTATAATTTGATGAATTTTTTAATTACATTAACATAAATGAGGATATATTAATTAAATGCAGCCAATAAGTGAATTTATTAAATAATATTACTATTTTTAATTTGAAACTATATGCTTAATTTCTCCACGAAATAGCTATATTAATTTTCTAAAACTGACATTTAGGCTGAAATATTGTTGTAATAGTATAATAATTAATTAATTAAATAAAAAAACTTCTTAATATTTGATGTTTTTTATTATTTAAATTGTAACTATATTTTTCCAGCCTCAGCATTGTTTTATAGAATTTGAAACTACTACTGCTATTCAAATTAGTAGAAATCTATTTTTGTATTATAATTTGTTGTAATGTTTCTAATCTCAAATTTGAGCAATCAATATTCTATTCTTAGTTTATATGATTAAAATGCAATTAAAAATTTATTTGCTCTTTTTCAGTTAAATGATTTTAATTACTTTTCATGATCATTTATAACATAAATAATTTTCAATTTTATACAAATTATTAGCTGAACATAAATTTGATTTAATTAGTGATTGTAGTTTAAATGTATAATGTATACATGATAAAAATAATAAAAAAGATAAACCTGCATGAGAAAATTCTATTTACATGATAAAAATTATAGTTTAAGAGTTAACAATATTTTTTTGGTAAGAATTAGCAAAAACTGAGTTATTTGTTCAAATTATTAATTAACAATTAAATAGAAGATATTATATTTTTAAATGTAATTAAATGCTCATAATATTAAATTTTTTACTATCTATTAAGTTAAACTTAGTTAATTTTATGAATATTTTTTTATTGATATTCATATCGAAATCATTTGATGGATTACATAATAGGTTTTTGATCAATAAAATCATAAAGGAATTAATTAAATTATTAATTATATTTAATTGATTTATTCTAAAATATTTCTAAATTTAATCATAGTATTTATATATGAATGTTTAATCAAAATTAATTTGAAAGAATAAATTAATAGAATCAATATTTATAGAATTCAAAACATGTACCATTTTTTTCACATTGTATATACAAAAACTCGTTTCCACAAATCATCACATACCATAGTTTTACAATCTTGAGAAAAACATATTTATGCGTCTGCTTCTACTTTTTCATATATTTTAATTTCTTAACCTTTTGAAATATCAACAAATGCAATTTTATTATCTTTATTTTTAATAACCAATTATTGATCATTTTATGAAAATTATGCTATTTTAATAGAATTTAAAGATCCTTCAAAAGTCCTTACTAATTTTTTTGTTTATATATTCCATACTTAATAAATCTACCTATTTTTATCATTCAATCCTTCAGCCAATAACATATGACCACTATAGGAAAATGAAATTGATATACTACTTTATATTTTGCTTCTCCAAAAGCACTTTAGTTTCCCATTTTATGTATTATATATATGAATAATGCAAAATGATTTACTTATAGCCCCAAGAATATATTCTAAATGATGAATTGATAAATGAGTAATTTCATGATAACATTTAATTTTCTACTATAATTTCCTATTATTAACACTCCATATTCGAATATATAAATCTTTACTAGCAATTACAAGCAAATTGGATTATGTAAATTTTAAACAATTTATGAAATTAGTTTTCTCTTCTAACCTAAATTATTTGGCATTTTTCTTTAAATTTATCACCCATACCTTAGGATCTTAAATATAATTGCTATAATCTTAATTTTCATAAATTGGATCACTATCTTCACTATATGCAAGCCAATTAACATCTTAAGAAATAGCAATATCATTAATAGATCTACTTAATATTTTACGACAATAACAATTTTCTTATTAATCCCAAATTCTAATCCAACCCATTTCACTCCCTATTACAATCCATCTAGAATCAGTTGAAATTGCGATTGATGAATGATAAAGTAAATTTTCTAATTTAGTTTTGAGAGTGGGTCTCTATAATGTGAGCATTCAAAATATAGATATTTATTATTGTAAAAATCACCCAAATATTTATCTTCAAAATATATATCAATATTTTAATAATATTTAATTTATATTAATTTTTGAATGAATTCAAGTTAAACCTTAAATCAAAAAATCTAATAACAATTTTAATTCAAAATGTAATTATGCTTATCAGATATTGAAATATATCTTAAAATTTTAATAGCATATTCTAAATGTTATTTTTAATTATATTTGTATAATAATATCCAATAACTTACTTGTTTAAGTATCTAAAAATAATTATAAAAGTTTATTTAATTTAATAACAGTTATGTAATTTGATTACTATGAGTGAAGTACAAGTCAAATATCATGACATTTAATTTTACTGAATATATTATTTTTTGATAATCCATTACATTTAGATTATTAATGTAATTTCTTAATACAATTAAAAATTTATAGCTGATTGAATACTAAGCTTAATACTCATAAGGCAGCATTACTTTTAATATTTTTAATAAAAATAAATAATTAATCTACATGGGTTGTTCTTAAAGCTTAACAGCAGATGATAATCAATCTGTGATCCTTATTAAACCAAAAACACTGAAATTCAAGTCTCATAATTCTAATATGGAATCCATTTTAAAGAAACAATATACAGACGGAAGTGGACAAGCCTTTTATATTGTCCCAACTGAAAGAGCTTCTTTCTCAAAAGTTCCAGTTTTGAAAGGTCCTGATACCAATTAGCTTGTTTTGAGAAGACGATAATCGAAATTATCTAGTAGTCCTTCAAATATAGAGAAAGCATAGACTTTGCCAATATATTTTTGAGAATAATTGATAATAAATGAATATATGTTGTCTATATTTTAATACAATTGCAAAATAAATTATAAACAATTCATAAAGGAGAATCCCAAGGTCCAAAAGAGTTACTTTTATTCAATACATTAATGGGTGATTTAAAATTTAATCTAATTTTCTTAGTGACAGCATCAGGTTAAATTTTAGGCATGTCAGTGATAAATCGTTTATGAATGCTTGTTTGAATCTAAACAACTTTTGAGACTCTACTTTATAATTCCTTCTTTTTTGATTTAATTACGTCATGTACAGAAATTAATCTTAAAATTGTTCCTTATTCATCTGGAGGAGGGTTCTATGGTTTTGGAGTTAAAGTGTTTTGAGATTTATAATACAACTTCAATCTTTAATAAAACGTCATTTAATGCATTGCTTTTTAAGGGGGAGATTAACTTAATGGTGAACCAATGAAAAGTTTAGGTTCTAATGGAGGAATTGGAGATTATCGTTATCTTATTAAAGACTTACTTATCCTCAATTTGTTTGTATTCATATTTTATTATAAATTAAAATGCTTAGATAATTTTGTTTGAGATTTAAGTTTTGCTAAGTAATAAATAAGGAGAATATTTAAATATACAATGCTATCTCATAAAAGATTGAATAATAACCATTTAAAGCATCAATTGTTGATATTTGGAAATTATCATCAATTAACCTTATGGATAATTAACTTTGGGAAAAGACAGAAATTTAATTTTCAAAGTGGTTGAATCATATTGATAATGAAGATTTAACAAAAATGGGATTTCTTATATCTAAACATCATTAATTTTTATCATTAAGGGCAAAATTGCAATTTGAAAACAGAATAAGAAAATTATCAAAAACTTTGACAGATAAACAAATATCTTCACTTATAGAAAAAATATTCCCATTAGCAACAGAAAATACTAAGACTTTATTGATTCAATTGTTTTTAAATTAGTAAAATATGGATAATTTAAATTAAATGAAGTCTCTATTAATTATATTAGAAAATAGTAAAGTTTTACTTCAACCTATAATGGAAAGGTTGAAATCAATCTCATCAATTACAGAATTTAACAATTATGATGAAATCATTATTTATTTATAATTATTTTACAGTAATCTAATTCATAATTGGATTGCTTTAATTTCACATAGAGAAGAAACTAAAACAAAATTGAATGAAATAATATATGGAAATAAAAGTAATTTATCATAATCCAAAATTGATCCTTAATTAAATTACTTAAATTTAGATGATATTTACAAAGAAATAAATAAATAATCAATTGAAGATACTTTGGAATTTAAAAGATTTTTAGCATTTATTTAATTTATTAGAGCCTGTAAATATAAGAATGTTTCAGTCAAAAATAAAGTTGATATTTCCCAATTATATTAAAGAATTATTCTTAAACTTACACCTCTTGAGATTATTTAAGTAAACTATGATCTTGTAATATTTTAGATGATTAGCGAATTAGATAAAATTATACCTATTGATATTTAGATTAATTCCTTAAAATAATATGTCAAAACCAATGAACTACAAATGAATAATAATTATTATATAATGTTTTAAACTGCTAATCTTAAATATTTATAAAGTTACCATTCATTTTAACATTAGGTCAAGAACTAAGTGAAATTTTTATTTCCAATATAAAATACACTATTGAAAGTTTCAATATAAATACTCTTTCAGAACTATACTCCTTATTATTGAAAACTGAGAGTACTTTTAAAGAGTTACAATCCATGATTTTAGAAATAAGACAAAAAACTAAAGATATTACCATAAAAACAATTTAGATTAATAATAGTATTAAAATTAATTGTGCTTTATAAATAACAAAATTATATAATCTTTAGAATGAAACTTTATAAGTAAAAAGATATTATATAATTAGATTCTTTGGGAGAAAGTTACTATTGAAGATCTTCCATAAGTTTAATAAATTTTAGTAGTGTTGAGATAATATGTCAGTCATAATAAATTAACTGAGGATCAAATGAATCTTATTTAAAGGATCTTGAGAAATAAGTTCTAAATTACATAAAAATGAATAAGAATTATCATATCAAAATATTATACAACATCTTGATTCATTTACAATAATTGTTTAGGTATTTTGACAGTTTTTTCCTTTTAAATTTAGAAATGGTTTCTTATGTAAAGTAGAGTTACTTTCATTAATTTCTTAATCAGATTCAGAAGACTCACTATAAATTCGAATATTGCTGGAAGTCACTACATTGGGAGATTGTTCATTCGAGATCGGTAAGAAGGAAATCTTATGATTACCCCCTTTAATAATTTGATTACCAGCTATATCTGTTCTTGTTTAAGTAGTTAAATAGGTGTTTCGATTATGTTTTAAAATTGGTTTGAGTTTATTTTAAACCTAAGAGGATTGGTGTAGTTCTATGAATTCTGTTTGTGACATTATTAATTAAATTATGTTCGGATATATTTTAGCATGGCTATGCTAATTCATTGATAAGACTATAACACTTATACGTAAAAGGTTAAGACCGAAAACAAGGTTAGAACTCAGACGTTATCACTAAATTCCTAGAACAAATTCATTTTACACAGGAAAATTGAGATTATTGATAGGATTAGAAGGGACTCTCGTTTGTACAAGTTATACTTCTATTCCAGGATGGGATAAAATTAATATCAAGTATATATTGTCATAATATTTAATGCAGATATCTTTCAGGAGTGACCCAAGATTTTTATGTTAAACATAGACCATATCTAGATGAATTTTTATTGAGTGTGTCATAAATTTATGATGTGAGCATCTATACAACCCAAATATAAGATTTTGCAATTCCAATAATAAATCGATTTTGCATAAAATTAAAGCATAATTTTTACAGATAAAAGTAAATTTTATTTTTCACATAGTCATGTGTAATATCTCGTAATAAAATCAGAAAAGAAATTAATATGACAACATCTAATCCTCATAATGTAATATTTGTAGATTATGATGAGGATTAATGTTTAGGTATAAATATTATAAATTCATTAAAGCAAATTCTGAAAATGCTTATCCAATAACATAATATAATGGTTAAGATAATGATATTGAATTGTTGAAATTGAAGGATTTCTTAATACAAGCAGAAGCATAGATGAGAGTTCGTAAAGAACATGATCCTGGTGTTACGATTTAGGATATACTTTAAGAAATGACAGCAGAGGATTGAAAGGATGAAATATAAAATATGAATAAAAAAATAATAATATAAAGTTCCTAAGACCTTATTCAAAAGTGTTGATATAATTACTGAATTGTATAATATAGACATTTTTGCTATAGTTGATCTAATTATATCTAAATAAATAATATATTTAATATTAATTTTTTATGAAAAGGTTATCTTCCCAAAACAAAACTACTCGTTCATCATAAGTGATTTCAAATGGAATTTACTTTGGATAATTTTAAAATCCATAACCTCTTCTTACTGCTGTCTCTAATACTTAATTAAAACCAACTTAAGATTTAAGAAGGAGAAATTTCATACCTAAAAAGAGATTATAATCACCAAAAATTTTATCCCCAAGACAATAAAATACAAAGCCAATAAAAAGTTTTTTCCAAACCAAACCATCTCCTAAAGCATCTTATAAGCCACCAACTATTATTGTAACTCAACCAACAAATAGATCAACAGTAATTCGAATAAGAAGTCCCATCAAGAGAAATTAATAACCATTAATAAGTTAAGAGATGGATAATAAATCAATTGAATTACTTTAAGAGTTAGCTAATAGTTAATTAAATAGAACATCAAGAAAAAAAAGAAGACCATAAACTGCAGGTGGATATACAATACCTTCTTAGCATTTCTCAAATAACATAGAAAACTATTTAATATAAGAATAGATTGGATAAGGTAGTTATGGGATTGTTAAAGTTGGATTAAATTTATTAAATGGATAATAGGTAGCAATAAAGATTTACGAAAGGATAAAAATTATTTCAAAAAAAGAATATATAAGAAAAGAAATTTAAATTTTGTCATCATTATAACATCCAAATATTGTTTAATTGCTTGACGTAATTTACACTGATGTATATCTTTTAATATTCAGACCCAAGTGCAATTAGTTATGGAATATGTTGGTCCATTATCATTAAGAGCATATCTTAAATAACAACCAAATAAATTGATCCCTGAAACAGAAGCAAAGAATATCTTTCTTTAAGTTGTCAAAGCAATTGATTATTGTCATTCTAAAAACATTGTAATTATTATATATAAGTTTAGATACATCGTGATATTAAGTTAGAAAATATTTTAATCAAAGATAACAAAATTAAATTGATTGATTTTGGTTTTAGTTCATTTATTGAACATAAGACTACTTCATATTGTGGAACTCCTTCGTAATCACTTTCATAAAATTACTAGATATATGGCCCCAGAGATTATATTAAAAATTGATTATGGAAAACCTGCTGATATATGGTCATTAGGAATATTACTATATGTAATGTTACATGGAAAGTTTCCATTCCAAGGAAAAGAACAAAAAGAGCTGTTTTCAAAAATAAAAACAGGCATCTTTTCATCCAATGGGATATCTTAATAGGCCTAGAGATTAATTAATAATATGTTGAGAGTAAGGTCATATGAGAGATGTAATACAAAGGAAGTATAAAAATTATGTCTAAAATTAGATAATAAAAGATTAATGGTTTCAATAATGATTTTATACATATTCGATTCTGTAATATTATATTTTTTATATTTATAAATAGTTTATGACTCTATTAAGACTTAGAATATTAACAATTGTATTTAAAAATAATTGGTATAATTTTAAGAAAAATTCTATAATGAGTGTTATTTTATTTGTTATTATAAATATGTTAATTTCTTTGATTATTTTTATGATCACATCATAGCTGTACTTTTTGTAATTTGTAAACCAAATTTTTGAGTTAAATTTACTAAAGTATATTTATCAGATTTCAAAATAATATCATTACTTATATGATAAATATTATACAATATAAATTTTATATTATTTACTCTTAAATTTAGTTGGCAAAAGTAGTTTAAATATTGAATTCTATTATTATATATTAAAAATATTATAAAAATCTAATATATTTAAAATTATTATTGGAATAAATAATTTTCTAAATATTTTAATAATTATACGTCATTCCTTGATTTATAAGCAGTGTGGATAATAAAGAATCTAATAAAATATAATATTTATGTAAATTATGGAGACCATTGTCAAGTACTGTGATAAAAATGATATCAAACTAATAGAATCAGGATGGCTTTTATATTGTCACATATTAGGTGTGATTGGTATCATTTGGAGCTTCTTCTTAGAGTCAGAAATGTTTTATAAATACTACTTAGTAAATGATTTCATTAAAATTTAGGCTTTCTTAATTTGGCATTGTCTTACAGGATTAGGAATTACAGGTGGAGCTCATAGATTATGGGCACATAAATCATATAAAGCATCATGGCCAATTAGAGTTTTCTTAATGTTTATGAATTCCAATTGTTTCTAAGGAAGTATTTGGCACTGGAGTAGAGATCATAGACTTCACCACAAATTTAGTGTATAAACTTAAATATATTTAAAGGATACACCATTAGATCCACACAATTCTTAATTAGGATTATTTTTCTCTCATTGTGGATGGTTATTGAAAAAAAAGAGTAAGGAATTAGTTGATGAAGGAATGAAACTTGATTTATCTGATTTAAAATCTGATTCAGTTGTAATGTTTTAAAAGAGACATTATTATAAAATGGCATTCCTATGGGCATTTATCATACCAACATTAACTGGTTTAATAATAAGTGATAAATGGTTTTTCAGTCTTTTGTTTTTAGGTTTTGGAAAATACATCTTTACATTAAATGCAACATGGTATTGTTTAATTTTTAATTTAGGTGTGTTAATTCAATCTGTCATTTTTATGGAAGTAGAAAATGGAATCCTAGAATTGAACCAAGAGATAACATTTTTGTCTCATTAATAACTTTAGGTGAAGGATGGCATAACTGGCATCATGAATATCCAAGAGATTGGAGAGCTTCAAAAAATGAATGGTGGATGATTAACCCAACATGCTCATTTATTTAGATGTGTGAATATATTGGATTAGTAAATACAAAAAGAGCAAAACTAGATGAAAAGGTGAAATATGATTATTGATTTTTTAATTCATTTGAAATACAAATCAATTCTTAATTATTACATTTACATTAACTAACTAATTATTATTCTTTTTCTAATAGCTGAATTATTCATTATTTTGAATACTAAATTTAATATGTTTAAAAATTAAAAAGTATTTAATAACAATAAGCTAAAGAAAAATTATAAGAAATTTCACAATATTATTATAATAATTATTTTTTTATAACAATTTATTCATGCTTCCTAATTAGCAATTAAACAATAATTTATATAAAATCTTTTTGATTTATCTGCCAATGTTGACCAAGATTGATATATAGATTAACAATTCCAAACTTCTTGAATAATCTTAAATATATTTTATTATTTTTACTGTAGAAAATTCTAAAAATTGTTTAGTTATAACTTATTTCTTTGAAACACTATTTGATTTCACTATAAAATTTGTTGGTTAATTCAAATTTACTTGTCCTTCCAAGGCTTTGGATATCTTTTTTGATATATTGTAATTCTCATCTGTTTACTAGAATATTATATATATATATTGATTACTAATGAAAATCGTAAATCAATATCTTCTAAAGGTGATAAAATTTAATGACCAAAACATTATTTTAATAATTCTGATGTTAATTCATTATAATCTCCCTTCTAAACTTAAAAATGTTTCCAAATATAATTTTTCATATCTTTTAATTTTATCTAATTCTTAATAAATTGTTTAATAAGCATTCTAATAACTATTAGTTCAGATTCATTAAATCTTATATTATTAGAAATCTAAGGTAGAACCTAAAGTCTTTAAGATATTTATTAATTTAAACTCTACTTCAATTTGTCACATCCTTTATCATGAAAATTATATGAAGCCTAAATAATACATAGAATTTATAGATACCCCAAAAACAGAAAAAAAATTATTCATAACAGATTATACTTATTTTTAAGGAGCCATAATTTCTTCCTCAATCTTCTTTTAATACTCTTGCAAAATACATTTTTCTAATTTTCCTGCTACCAATATCAATGCCTCTTCATTTTTTATCTAATATAAATTAGTATAAATTCTACAGTAAAATAATATTTTCTAGATATTCCAGGACCAGATACTTTCCAAGCCAACCAATTTTCTGTTGCAGGAACTCTCCCTAAACATTTAACAAACTATTATGTTAAAATATTTGTAATACTATTATCATTAAACAATCATATAAAGATCTAATTATATATCTTAAATGTCCAAATATTATCATAAATATACTTCCTAAAGGTAGAATGATAAAACAAACTAATAAATTCATTATTAAATTTAAGATCCCTCTTACTATGAAATCAAAAGTATTTATAAATATAGGAAACCAAGCTGGTGTTGAAAAAATACTCCATTATTCTCTGTCTGAACAATCAAAATCATAAATCAATAATTAAAATACATAACTAATATTATTTATTAATAATATAATATACCTTAATATTAATACAATTGGTATCCATGCCCAAGCTGTTAAAGCTAAAACTAAAGAGATTACAAAATTAGCAATAATCAATATAGGAATTATAATTAAAACACCAATTATTCCAACAATTAAAAAACGGAAAAAGTAAACTTCAACATAATTACAAATACGAGCACAATTCTTACCAAAAAAACCTGTATCAGGTGAATTTTCAAAGTCTCTTCTTGATCTACTCATGCCTTTGCAAACATTAGCCATATGAACAACTACTGGAGTAACTGAATAATGTGAATGGCTAACTACACCAGTTCTTTCATTAATTTATACATCTGGATAGAAAACACTCAATAATATAATAATATACCTGCATTAAACTAAAGCTCTTATTCCTAAAGGTCCAGAAATTCCATTTGCAAATAACCAAAAGGTAACATTAGCAGTCCATGCAAAATATCTAACTATCATAAGATAAAATTTCCATAAGGGAAAGCTTGAATAAACTATATAAGTCCTTTTTCTTTCTAATTTAAATAATTCTCCAATCCTAATAATATTATAAGGAGGAAAACATTGACGAGTTCTAATAAAATATGATCTAAATTATTACACTTCGATTCTAATATTAATTCTTTTAGATTTTTCTTCTGCTTATTCAATTAATAATTTTAATTCTTTTTTAAGTTGAGCTTTTTGTTAAAGATAGTTTAAATATAACTCAACTTCTTTAATATTTTATTTTTTTAAATCCTCAATTAATAAGATTCTATATTTCTCTTTTAATACTGCTTTCATTTACTTTCTATGTTCAGATCTTTGTTCAGCAACAAAATGATAAGATTGTGAACGTATAGGATGGTCTTTTATTAATTTCTTATCAAATTCATCCAATGATTATTGTAATTCATTCTAAATATATAAATAAATAAGTTTACATCTTATTACTATTAGTAATACTTTTAAGCTCTCTTACATTCATTCAAATCATTAATGTTACTAATTAAAGCCATATCATCACCTAACTTACTTTGCCAAAACTTGAATTGAGCAAGACTGATTGCATTATTTATTTATTCATTAACATCCTATTCTATATTTACTTAAATTCCATATTCTTTTATGTAATCCTTATCTAAAAGTTTAATTTATTCGTTTATATTTTCTAAATATTCTTTCTATTCTTCATGATCATCAAATTTTTAATTATGACCAAATTGCTCAATTAAATAATCAAATTAATTTTAGATTGATAATTTCAAACCTTATTGATGATCCATGAATTCTTATTGTAATTTAATTAATTAAGTCATTTTTTCTTATGCTTAACGTCTAGATATTTCACTATTCAAAAAATGTAAATATTCATATATTCTTCTTTTATAAAAATCGGATTATCTCAATTCAATTTATCTTCTAGCCTCTATTTAGTTTTTTAATTAATTTTCATTTACATCTATATAAGTTTCTCGAAATCCTATTAGTAAACTTATATATAATGTTAATTTCTATTTTAAATGTATATCTTACAGAAAAGATATTATAAATTGAACAACGAATAGTGCATTCTCTTCCCTTACTGTCATTCACATTGTAGATTGAGTTTTTTTCAAATTTATAAATATGATATGCCCTCCCAATATCTTAAAAATAACTTTTTGTAATATTTTATCGACCTTTTAAAGTAGAAAAGTTTTTAATTACCTTTGACTATGATTGAGGATATTTACCAAACATATGGGATTTGAAATTGCATTGATTATATTTCAAAGGTGCCTGACTGAAATATTTAAGAAATTTGTGCATTGCTTAGATCTTATACTTAATGATATTCGTTCTAATCATCATATTGATTATCAACCTATAATAAATCAGGTCTATGGGGAAATATTTGGCAGTTTCCAACAAAAGAGGATGGAGGAAGCTAAAATGGATAGAAGTAATCATTATTTTAGTGATTAACATCCCAAATTTTGAGATATTATGACAAAGCAATGGCACTTTAATAGGTGGAATCTTGAACATCTTATGGGAGTTATTTAACTTTAGAATCAATCTAAAGTTATAAAGACATTACATTTAAATTAGTTCTCTATCCTTGAAAATCACATGGAATTTGATTAGGTAATTAATAAAACTCTTTATTCTAATCCAAAGAATATGACAGATTGAAATTCAATTCAAATTAATCTTGTTGATTTTACATATTGAATTTTGATAATAAAATTAATTTAAAATTTATTTAATATAGAAAAATAATAAATAATAATATATAGACGTATACCAAAATATATGGATAAAAAGTATCAGATTTTAATATCAAATTGGCTTATAATCCCATTTTTTAATTTCAATACTAATATAGATTATTATTACAATAAATAAAATACACATAATCAATAAATGGCATAAATTTATCTATTATTATATAAATAATCAAATATTTGACTTAGAGAAATTCTATAGCAAAACAAAACGAAATTTAATCATAATAAAATTCCTCATATCTTACTTTAAAAATGAATGAAATTATCAATACAATATACTAATAATATACTCAGATTAGTTTTATATTTATTATTCAATCTAAAATTGATTTCTTCTATTTCTCCCTAAAATAAGTGCACAATTTCATGTGGCCTTAGAGTTGGAATTTCTTTATTTGATATAAAAAATCCTTTGAAAAAAGTTGCAGTGATATATCAACTAAAAATAGAATATAAGTAAATATGGATGATATATTAGAATTTGAATATTTCTGATTTAATTAATGTATTAAATATGCTTATTTAATTAAAAATGACTTCTTTATTATAATCTCTTTATTAATATCATAAAATTCTTGTTTACAAATTATAAGTTTATATTACATTTATGATAGAAATAGATTTCATTAATAATAAATATATAAGTTTTATAATAATATAATATTGTTTAATCAAATGAATTGAAATTGATAATTATTAACTGATGATTAGAATAATTACAATTATTATAATCTTCTCATATATTTAAATTATTATATAATACAAAAAATTTAAATTAATCTAAGTTGGCATTAAAAGAAAAAGAGAAAACATTCTGGTATTATAAATAATAATTTTTATTTTATTTTGATGCTCATTTAGCAATTTGAGTTTATATAAAATTAAATTAGATTATAAATTAATTAGCTCGACTAATTTTTACAAAATGAAGCAATTTAATTAATTGAAAAACTTTAACTATTATGTTGCAAGTTGCAACATTTTGCTTGAAATAAATTTTATTAAGTTTAACAATTTGTGGTTGTATTTGATTCATTTGATTTCAGAATTTTAGATATTTGGAATTGTAGTATTAAATTTAAACAAAGAATTACTTTAATTACCATTAATGAATATTGATTATGGATTGAATATTATTTCAATTATTTCAAGGCCATATAAATTAATTGTTGAAGATAACTTTTTTAAATATTCCTACATTATTCCATTAACATTAATATCCTTATATATATTCCATTAATTGATTACATTTTTTTTATTTTCAAACTAGTCCTAAAAAAATATAATAGAATATGTAATGAAAAGCAATAACATAAAACTTATTTTTCATAGTATAAGTATAATGTTTTTAGCAATTTTTGACAAACTATTATGTATACCATGTATTCAATTAGTATGTTATTCAATTGAACAAAATATTAATAATGAATTCTTTGGAGCAACAGAATTTATTAATATATTGTTTTCAATATTGACATTCATTCTTATATTATGGATCCAATTATTATATTTAATGTTTGTGAAGGAAGCTATTACATTAAATTTGTTTAATTTTAAAGTTCTTATATTTTAAGGATTGGATTACTTTTATACATTTATAATTTATATTATAGTAATAATAGACTGTATGAATTTAGAAATGAAGATAAAGAATTATCTAATTTTTATAATGTTTATAATTTTATCAATATTTAAATTAAATTAATTATTAAATAAATATCAATACGTTAGCAACATATAAGATTACTTAATCAATTTGAATGTAGCTTTTATATTAATCTCAATACTATTAATTGGAAATAGTTTTATAGAAGAAAAACAAAATTTAATAATCATAATTATTATTGTTCCTAGTTTAGCAATAGCATTAATTTAATAAATAAAAAAAAAAATAGATTTCAGTATGCTTGTTAAGCTACCTGAAAATTAATCTACTTAAACTTAACAATATTTAATATCTATATTTTAATAAAAAGATTAATTGAATAGAATTTAATAATTTAGTTTATCATTATTTTTATTTCATCATAAAAACAATTGTCTAGAAAAATCATGTTCATGTAAAAAATAAGGATTGGAGAATGAAATAAAATTAAAATAATTATACTTAAAATAATTAATATTAGAGTTTGGAAAATCTATTAATAAATTAACTGATTAAAGTTTAAAAGGATTCTATTGTTTATTTTATATATAGAGTCTTATAGCAATTAATTAATCAGTTAAGGCATATCAATAAACAAATATATTATTACTCAAATAAAGTGTTCATTCAATGAATGATTAATAGAATATTTTTAGTGAATAAACTACTTATTCAATGACAGTTGAAGAGAATTAGAATGTTTATAAGAAAAAGAGCAACTCTGATATGATTCATAGACTTGAAAAGATCTCCTTAAATTATATTAGTTATATTAATAAAATTAAAATAAACATTATATTAGAGATAGCTAAATAAAATTTAATTTCAAGTTTTAGTTTTGGAAATGTAATTTAAAAGACTTAATTAAGTTAAAGTGTACAATTATTTATGAAAGTTGAAGAGTAACATCAATAATTAAAACACAATATAACAAATATAATAAATAGAAAAAAAGATATATTCATGATAATGTCTTCAACTACTAAATTAAATCCTGAAAGATTCTTAAATTAATGTTTAGATTTAATAAGAAGAATAAACTTTATGGAAAATGAGTTATAACATTTATTTTAAGAATTTCCAAGCAAGAAAATGCAATCTATTTATTCATTTTATTGTGCTGAAATTTTGAATAATTTTATGTAAGCTTATAGGATTATAAATTATAATACAATATCAGATAATGCTTTAATTAAAATTTAAAGAAATTATTCAGTTGATTTATTAACTACTTAATTACATTATATGATCTTAATTATGGATCATTAAGGAACAGGTTTATAGATAGTAGAAAGATCACATCAAATGCATAAAATAATTGAATATGATTAATAAGAATTTAAGGAAATTAAATCTATTCTTTCCTTATTACCAAAAGGATTTTCAACTATTCATAAACATTTGATTGAAGATTTTTTAATTACTGGACGATCTAAATTCTTTAGAGAGTAAAATGTAAATTTAATTTTATAAAGAGACTCTTTTTTATGTGCAGTTGACTTTTTCTTTGATTTTGATTTAACTAAATTATAAGAATTAACCTTTTAAGTATTTTTCTCTGAAAATAATGGAACTAATTCATATCTTATTTTAAATAATAAACATCTTATTTTAGGTGTAACTAGAGAATTATGTAAATAATTAAAACTTGAAGAAAATGAATAGTAAAAATTACCAGATTAAATATATTTAATGGATATTCAATAACTTATACCAGAATACTTTACATTAATAGATTAAAATAATATTGATAAAAGTTAACCATTTTCTAATGTTTAAATTATATTTAATGATAAAAATCAAACTATTTAAAAATCTATCTCAAATGATACTAAGAAAACTACTGAATAAATTAGATTCTATTATGCAAATATAGTTGTTACTATAAGATTAACTCATTCTATTATTGAAATAAAAAATGTTGTGGAATCAAAAAAATCTATTTAATAGGAATCTATTGTTGATTATGATAATTTTGAATAAGAATGTTATGATTTTATAGAAGAATTTCATATACAATAACCTAATTAATATAATAATGATTTATTTCCTAAATTAAAAAAAGGAATTGATATTTAAAATGATTGTTATATTTAAGAAGAAATAAATGAAAATATTGATTAAATTGATACAAATAGAATAATATCTTAATAATAACGATAATTAATTTCAGAATCAATATAATAATATGAATTAATTAGTCCTGGTAGAAGTAATAGATAATTGATAGATAAAACTAATAGTTTTGCAACACATTAAATAAATTAAAGTTGTTAACAAAGATTCTTTTAACATTAAAATGAAGAAAAAGAAAAGGAATAATCATAATCTAATCAATCATATGCTGAAAAAGGATTTGCAAAACTTAATAATGAATAAAATTAATAAAATGCTGAAATTAGAGAAAATTTAAGATAATAATTAAATGAAGAAAATTAAACAACTTTACAAGCTAAAAAAATTAATTTAGATAATGCAGCATCTAGTACTTTGGGAACATTTTCTTAAAACTTTTAATTATTTAAAAAGTACGAATTATTACAATAAATTGTTTAATCTATTAAATTTTCAATTATGTTTGATTTAATGATATTCTCACTTTTAATTGTATCATTGATATCAATTATATTTGCTATCATTTTAATCAATAATTCAAGTACAGATATATATAGTGCTTTGAGTTAAATGTAAATGTTAGAATTTTATACATCTTTTATGAATCCTTGCTATTTATTTTTATCATCATTTTCATCTACTTATAATTATATGAATGGATCATTTGAACATAATTAATTATAAAACATTTAATCTTTAATATAATATAATCAATATACTATAAACCAATCCTTTATAAACATTAAAAAAAGTTATTCAATTTAATCTCAAGGTAATTTATTATAATAAGATCTTTCAACTACTTTTATAGATTTTAAATATATTAAAGGAAATGAATTTACATCTGAATAAATATCATTACGTGAAGCAATTTTTTTAATTATTCAATACCATTATAATTTTTAATCCATCTATACATAAGAGAATGGATTAGAATAAATGATTTAATAATTAATATCATATCTAATAAATTTAGATGATGTTAATAAAGAAATACTTAATTTAAACACAGAAATAATTACATATATTAGTGATAACCATTTTTTATTGTAATAAAAATGGATTATAGTTTGCCTTAGATGTACTTATTTGATATTATTATTTTAACTTTCTGCATGGTTATTATACATTAAACATATTAGAAAATATTCTAAAATCTTGAAATTGTTTTAGAAAGTAGATATTGTTTGGGTGTTAAGAGATTTGGAAAGATGTAAAGAATTATTGAATTTACTTAATAAAGATTCTAATTTAATGTTTAGATATAAATTTAATATATTTTTAAAAGAAAGATTCTTTAAAAGTGAATTATCTAAGAAACACATTATACAAGACAAGATAAAGAGAACAGGATTCATTAAATTGGATAATAAATAAAAATTATTATTAAGTAGATTAGGTAGTTTTATTTTATATTCAGTTCTATTTTGTATATTCTTTATTTATTCATTTATTATGAATTTATAAGGAATTAATTTTATGGATTATTATCAAATGAAGAGTTTGTAATATAATTAAATTGGTGAATTTGGTATATCTATTCCTAAAGCTTATAGCTTAAGAGAAGTATTATATTTTAAAAGTAATAACTTTATTGGATATGAATATATATCATATAATTTAACTGATCAATATTTATTAATCATACAAAATAGTTTAGATAGTTTGAGTAATTTCTTATAAACCTATACTTTTACTGATAGTAATTATAATGATTAAAATCTATTGGATTTGAATAATCAAACATTATGTGAAGTAGAAAGTATTTCAAAAACATTTGATTTGTAATAATAATTTTTATGCAAATAAATCTACGATAATGTTATGGATAGAGGTCTCTCTATTACAATAACTAAAATTAGAGATATATTACTGACTGAAATGAATAATTCTTAATTATTTTCATAAAGAATTAATCCACCATTTAATGAAATAGAAATTGGAATATATTTGAGTGTTATTATTATGAATGTTTTATAAACCATTAAAACAGAACTTTCAGATTAAGCAGATTAATTAAATATGACTATTTGGGTAATTCTAAAATCATATATTAGATTGTTTCCATTATTTATTTAGTGTTTACATTCCTAAAAATAGGGTTTATACTATTATTTGTTAGAACACATTATTTGAACGAATTTTAAAATATTAAGAAAATAACTATCTTATTACCATAGGCTGCATTATTTATTGATGATTTATTTGAAAGGCAGCTTAGATAATTAATTGCTAAAGAAAATCTCGTTTGATCTTCTATGAAATTTTATTAGAATATTTTATATTTTTATTTTTATTTAATCTTTGGTGATATTCTCTTCATAATTTAAAATGTCTTTGAGAAATTGAAATAATTAAAAAATATTGCTATATTGTTTAAATAAAAGTAAATTAATATTGTCATTGTTAAAGCATCGTTGAATCGTATGACATATCTAAGTTTGCTAAATTTTATAGTTTATTTAATTTGATTGGTTCAACATCAATTATCATAGTTGGATGCAATTTATGAACTATTAATATCGATACATCAATAATATCAACATCATCAAAACTATTATTGCTCCTGATTATATAATGATAATAGCAAAACACTCTGTTGGTATTTTAGAACATAGTTCCACTCCCATTAAATATATAAGAGATATTTTGTAAATTTAAAATTATTATTATTTATCAATATAATCTCAATATTAATTTTATTTCCTGTTATAATACTTTGAAATCATCTAATAGGGTTTTATAAATATTTATATCAATTATAAAAAAATAATTAAAGAATCAATATTTTTAAGGAATACTAATCATATATATGTTCTTGATTTCTACTTTAATCTCTCTTTATCAAATTTATGGCAATTAAATTTATATTGTTCATATATGTTTTTTTATAATAATATGAACTTTTATTTAAATGTATTAATTATTTATATATTCCTTATCTTATCAAATAAGCATTAGGATTGATAATGAAATCAACTTTTTGAATGAGATGCATTGAACTTTTAATAAGAATATATTTCTTAAGGGATATTAATTTTTCAACATAAAATCATAAAGTTGGAACTTTAATAATGAAAGAACTTTAAATTCTCCTTGCATTAGAATCATTAATTTATTTGTAGAAATTATCTAACATTTATTATTTGATATTTAAATATTATGATAATAATTTTATCTAATTAGTGAATTAATATATATTTTAACAAGTCTGAATTATTGCTATTTAACTTCCTAATAGTCTCAATAAGCTAATAAGGGATTTTCAGTAAAATTTAGTTTAAAAATAACTTGAATTTTATGCTTATTTTTTATATTTGAAACCAATTCTTGAATTACTATTAAAAACTTTATTTAGACTAATTCATTTATCTAATATCCCAATTGTTTGTCATTATTGTTTTGCAAAAGGCTTGTTTGTTTAAAATTATACAAAATATAGAAATAATAACAATAATTTTAGTGTATATGGAAATCATGCTATCTCTAATAGACAATCTTTATGTTAGAAATTCTGATTAACCAATGAACTAAATGGAAAATTGACATGAAATATCAACTAGAAATTACTTACTCAACAATTGTAATATATAAAATAAAATATTTAGAAGATGATTTTTACTATCATTATTACTTTTGATAATAGGATAATTCAAGAAAATAATGTTTAATAATGATTAAAGAGATCATCATTTAAGAGTATAACAAAATACTATATTTTATTGTATTTCTTATAATTGTAATCTAAATCAAATGATATATTGAATTGTAATATCTCTCTTAAAGAAAAGCTTATCTTATATAAACTGTAATAAGAAATGAGAATGAATAGTTAAACAATATATTTATTTATAAATAAGAATATATATAAATATATTATAATTATACAAAAGTATTACAATCACAGTCTAAATTCTAACTATTTCAAAATTTAACTTGGAGAAGATTAGTCTATGATAATAATATTGTTAATAAGAGAGAAAAATATATTATAATAAGAATTATAAGATAGCAACATTATTAGAGAGCTTTGGTTGGCAGTTTTATTTTAATATCTATTATGTTGTTATTTCTTGATTTGTAAAGTCTTTTGATAATGTTTTAAAATATTTGTTATCTTGTAAAATGAGGTAATGATGACAAACTCATGTTTAATTGTTTTAAGAAAATAACAGATATTAGTAAAGTTGAGTAGAGGGTTGGTAAAATAATTTATGGTATATATAAAATTTTAGGTAAGATTATAAATTTCATTTTGTAATAGAAAAAATGAGAATAACTTTGAATTTATGATTAGGATAATACCTAACTTACCGTTTTATTCTGATTTATACTTATACCTAGTTTGGGGTTTAAATATAACTTAACAACATAAATAAATAATTAATTTATTTTTTAGATGATAAAGAAAAGGATTAGTAAAGATTAAAATAATTGTAAAAAATACAAAAATTCTAATAAATCCAGGAAATACTGGACAGAGGAAGAAGATAATATATTAAAATCAACTGTTTCAATGCATGGGTCAGATTGGAAACTTATAGCAGAGTATTTGAATGGACGAAATGCCAGTTAATGTGCTTAAAGATGGAAGAGAGTCAAGCCTGATACAGTAATATTAGATTAATATAATTTCTAGGAAGAAAAAAATTAAAAATGGACATCTGAAGAAGATGAAGAAGTTAAGAGGTTAACAAAAGAATATAAGTTTGATTGGAAGGTGATTGCTCGTTTTCTCTCTAATAGAACTGGAAGGCAAATTAGAGAACGATATATAAATCATTTAGACCCAAATATAAGTACTAAGGCATGGAGTTAATAAGAAGATTTAAAAATATGGAACTTATATAAAAAGATAGGTTCGAGATGGTCTGAGATGGCAAAGAAACTAAAAGGAAGACCAGTAATTTTTTAATTTATTATTTTTCTAGGAGAACATGATAAAGAATAGATTTTACGGATATATTAGAAAAAATTATGCTAAGCAAGAAAATCCTTACTATATTATACCAAATCAAAAGAGATAGCTCATTAAAGAGGAGGATCAAGTTGAAATGTTAAATAATTAAAATACTCTTGAAACAGGAATTGAAGATATTGAACCATAAATCATGGAACAAATTTAATAAAATAAATCAATATAATAATAAGAAGAATAAGTTTAATCAGGCATTAATTCCATATTATAATCACTATAATCTGATAAGTTAAATGTTAGTATTATAAGTAATCATCAAGATGTCCATCAATTATAATTATTTCATAAAATGTTTATTGAATCGTCAGAAAATGAGTTTTTAAAAGTAGATCATCATCTTGTTAATTTTTTATCAAACGAAAGCAATATTAATAGTTATGCTAACAGTCATAATTAATTTACATTCACTCCTTAAAAAGAAGAAGAGAATGATAACTTTATCAATCAATTTTTATAATTTGACGGTTCCTCTGTACCTGTACGAATGAGAGCCGATATATTTGAAGAATTTTCTAAATTCTCTTGATTTGAGTACTGAAAACATCAACAATAGATTTTGATTATATATCGAGTCATTTAAATTATATTTATAAATAAAAAGTCAATTAAGTGATTGAAATATTTAAGTATTCAAAGCCATTCTTTAAAATGTTTATGTTCAAATATAAATTACCTTTAAAATAAATTTGAATTTATATAAATAAAAATATATACATTTCAATAAAATATCACTCTCTAATAATAAAAATCAAAGTAATTTAAACATTCTAGTGAGAGTATATTTGATAAAATTATATAAAATATGATTAACATCAATTCCATAAATTTAATGAGAAAATTATAAAGATAACAAATTTGTAGATTAAAAAATACCACAAATTTTTGCCCTTTATATTATAATTTTCTATTAAAATTAAGCTTGAAAAATAGAAGAATGTGATGAGATAATATGATTTTAATAAAGAAGAACCTCTAAAAATATCTTAACATCCTTTTAATTAATTAAAATATTAAAGAAGTGTTAATATTTAATTGATTCACATTAGATATACTATATTTATAAAGGTTGTGATTTTCCTATTTATTTTTATGGAAAATATCAATATCTTTACATTTACTTGCATTTAAGAAAATTAATATTAATAAATATAGACAAAAGACAAAATCTCAATTATGCTATAAAATAATCACACAGTTAAAGAGCACTGTTAATAATAATGATTTTGATTTCATAAAAAGAAAGGATTTTTTAATCTTCAAGTATTAAATTGGGATTACCTAAAAAAGGCTATGTATAAAGTATTTAATTTATCATTTTTTTTGAATATTAAAGAAAAATATGATTATTTGTGATATTATTTTTATTTTTTTTAACGTCAATTTTATCGATCTATATAGTATATTTGAATTATTATTATTGATTTTATTGCATATTCTTTTAAATGAATAATTTCATAAGCTGCTTGAAATAATTAAATAAAAATATTATTGATGAAATCATTCAGTAATTTATTATCATCTTTTGTTTCAAAGTAATACACACCCTTTTTACAAAAACTGAATAATTGTTCCTTAATGTAGAATACTCCTACCATCTTAATGGCAGACATATTGTATTTGATTGAATGCTTTGAAGGATTTGGTCCAGAATGCAAAGGAATTTAACCAACTGGACAAGAATACTTACAATAATTTTTCAAAGTGATTAATAATAAAAACTTGGATGGTTTCATTGGAATTAAAATAATTCTAACCATACATTTAATTCTATATGAATTTTAAATAGGAGATTCAATTGCAGAATAAATGATAAAAGAAGGATCAGTACTTCATGTCTAATAAAATCAACAATTCAGTATGTTTACTTAAAATTATCTGATGTATTTGTTGAAATTAGCATAAAATTTAAAATTGTTTTATGCATGTAAAATAGGTTAGTATCCTATTTTTGATTAAGATTTAACATAAATGTAATGTTAATAAAATACAAGAGATCAACAATTTTAATAATTTTAAATCCTGAATAAAAACAGTAATTTTAGAGATACATAATTGCAATATAGGAATTATCAACAAAAGAAATTAGAATTGAATAAGCAATAATCAACAGGAAGTATTACTATAGAATAGAAAATAATATATTTATTTAAATTGCACAATTTACTAAATTAATGTATATAGGTATTAAATATATGCATAAATACTTTGAAATAATTAGAAAATTAAGATTCCAAAAATATTTTTATTGAATTAAGTTGTGTTCTTTGGAATGATTGCATGTTGATGTACAAATTTTCTTCATAGGAAGTATTATTATTCATTTGATAATTTTAGTTATGCAAATTCCTTGATTCTTTTCGATAATTACCATCATAATAGTTACTTTAAATTCAACAAATATATTTAGTAACTATAAACTCTTCCACTTAAATCAAATAATTATATTAAGATAGAAATTATTTCGATTCTTAAAATATTATAAAATAGCCATTTTGGTTTGAGGAAAATAAGTAATTATCTTAAGAGATTCAAAATAGAATAATTGATAATAAAATGTAACAAATACCTGATTCAACAAGAAAGATGAATAAAGTATTAACTCCTTAAACATAATAAAACTAAATATCACCAACTAATATTGCTTAACCATTCACTTCAAGAATAGGGAATTCTGAAATCTCTACAAAAACCACTATATTTTCATAACCATATTTCATTGCTAATAAAAAATTTTAACAATAAACAAAACAGTTAGAAACTTAATAATCTACAAATAAGAGAATAAAAAGCCATTTTGGAAGCATATTCTCTGATGAATAATTAATTATATCTCCAAAAGAATCTTCAAAATTATAATAACAATTATGATTAGTTGATTAAATACTTTATATAGATTGTAATTAATCAGATAATTTATCATTATAAGAAAAGTCTGACAAACTAATTAGTATGATTAAAATTTTATCTCTGTTTAGTTAGACAATTCTCATATATTTTTAATTCAATTTCACTTAATATTCAAGATTCTTATCAAGTATACATATTGTTTAAATTATAAAATATATAAATTTCATCATTAAAATAATAATTGTGAGGTTTACATGTGTAATAAGCTATTAAAAATGAATGAAATTATGTAATATGAAATGATTAATAAAATAGTTTAGTAGAATATATTTTTCTTAATAAATTATTGATAATGAACAGTGTATATATAATTAATAGATATGATTTGACAATTCTTTTAGGTTTATTTTTTATAATAATTTAAAAATAATATTGAAATAATATTGTTATAATTTATACTTAGAAATAATTATTATAAAATTAACATCCTCTTAAAGAATTGATTCTCAATATATTAAAGCATTTTTTATTGTCAATTCTTCAATAAAAGAATACTAGAGCTAGAGACATATTATATATCTTAATAATACTACTGGAAATAAAATTATGATTTATAATTTTATCTAAAAATAAGTCTAAATTACATAAAATATAGACGTAATTCATAAGATTGAATAGTTGTTGTGTTTTATTGACTTAATACAAGATAACATAACTTAATTGTTTGCCAATATTTAATTATTATTTCAGATAGAATAAGTACATAATGAAAATAATTTATTAAATTCTTCTCATCTAAAAATCATTGAGCAGATAGAATATTGAGATGTAAATTTAAATACGGTAATCTTTTGTTTGATGAGACAATAATTTTTATAAATGCAAGATTCTATTCTTAACTTTGAAGATCATTCATATAATCATCCATCAGAAACATTACCTCAAATTTAAGAATAAAAATAAAAGAATCCTAGTGAAGCCAAAAATATACCTAAAAATATAGGTGGACTCTTAAAAAATCATTTCGGTATTATTTTAATCTAATAATGTAGTAAATCGATGTTTTCCCTAAGTAAAGGATAATAAAGTTATTAAACATTTCATCTCTTTATAATCAAAGAAAAAAAATTACTCAAGAGAAGACATCAAAAAAGTATTGGAGAACAAAGAAGCTGCAAATATTGCAAAAAAATACTTTGCAAGCTTCGAAATTATAGAAGACATCCTTCATTCAGAAAAAGTACCAGAAATAACAACTTTATTAAAATATATCAGAAAATTTTTTATTGCTTCCTATTATCCAGAGACTCTATCCACACTTAAATTACCAGAATGATCTTTTTTTATATACTTTTATGATTTTTGCCTCCATTTTTATAATAAAATCAATATATATTTTTTCAGTTCAAATAGAATATTGAATTTTTTATAAATCTTTTTAATTAAATACTAAATTAAAATAAAATAAATTAATATTAATAATTGATAGATTCCTTATTAAAATCATCTTTCGAATATAATAGATTTTGAATTATAGCTTTCAAAATATTCCTTTTAACCTAGATATATCCTCAATATAACTATATAAAAATTTGCATTTAAATAATATTCTTATTCTATATTATAATTATTTTTTACATTAGAAAATTGATGAGAATTTTTTTCAATTATATTCTGAAATTGTTAAAACTAAAATATTAGAATAATAAACTTTAAATATATAGATATTATGTTCTTTTAATGTATTAAATATACTAATTTGAATTATTATTATATTTTATTTCAGAAATATTAATAAGAAATATTAATTCTAGCCAACATTCAATGAAACTATTAATTTCTGAAATTAATATATGTGTTGTTAATTAACATTATAATAATATATATATGATGACTTATTAATAATTTTTTCAAATAGGTTCAAATACTTATCCATATTCATTTACCATACTAATATAGATATCTTTTTTAATTGTATCTTTTCTATTCTTCAATCCCTTTTTGGCAGTCATTTTCAATATTTTTTATTCAATTATTGCTACTTCTGAAATACAATATAAATTCACTAATAAAGAAATCAAATCATCTAAGAAAATGTATCCTTGCTAATTAGAATCTTAGAGTAAATAAGCTATTTCAAGTTTGTCATGTTTTCTACAATTTGTTTAACCTAATAAAGTAAGTAGAGTATTTTTTAAATTAACTATCTAATCTACAATTACATTATCTGAACTTTTAACATATTCTTCTCTAACAGGATTATCATTCATTGAATTAAATAACAATTTTGATTGGTGATCTTTAATATTGTTTTATTTTTACTATCTAAAATATCAAGATAATGAATAAAATCTTCATAAGTACATGATTCCATAATATCAAGCTTATTAATTTTTTCAAAAACATCCAAGATATAAGCTTAATCAATTTTCTTCTCTTTTACAAATCTAATTGCATTATTTTTTCTTTAAAACATAATATCTCTTTAACTTAAAGATGACTTTTATTTAGTTTATTATGTTATTTAACCTTCTTCAGATCGGATTACTTTTAGATTCTATCCAATAACTTATCTCTATTTCTTTTAGGATGCTATATTGTTAATTGATTAAAACATAAGTTTGGATTATTCATCTTAACCAAATCTTGGACTAGTTAATTCATTCTTTCTTATTTATTCAACCATTTATGGTGTTATTTTACCTTTTCTGGCAACTTCTTGAACCTCTTTTTCCATCATAGTCTAATTAATTTGTGTACGCTTTTCAACTAATTCCTTTGTGGGTGGATGAGCTTAACCTAAAGTTGGCAAAGACCATCCTCCAGCTAGATTTTTAAAATCTTCAAATTTTACTTCTCCACTTCCATCTTTATCACACATTCTTATCATTTCTTCAATTTCTTCAGAAGTTGCCTTTTCTCCTATAAAATCCAAGAAAAATGATAAATCTTCAGATGTTATTCCACCATCTTTATTCATATCTAAAAAATTAAATGCTTCTTTAATTTCATCTTCTGTAAACATACCTCTCACATAATCATATTATTAATTTGATTCTTCAATCATATATTTAGTATAGCCTGGTGTTATTTTTGATTAATCACTAGGTCCAGTCTTCATTTTTTATGATTGTTAATCATCTTAATATCTGAATTGAGAACTCATAGGTATTGATTGTTAACTGCTTGCATTAACCATTACTTTAGGTATTTAATTAAGTTAAGGAGCTTTGAATTATTTAAAATCAACTGAATTTTATGGACTACCACCTCCAGCTTCTAGATATTCATTTGATACATAAGAACTTTTTAATTTTTATTCAGTATCATTAGATTCTTATTATTAAAACATTTCCTGTTCTTCATTTTATTAAATAATCATATTAATTATATAATATAGAAATATATCATGATTCAATTTTTAATTGAATAGCTTATTTAGAAATTCTTTATCTAGGAAATTTAGGAATTAATTTAGGAAAAGTGCCTTAGCTTTAAAATGTTTTGGGTAATTTACTTAAAGTATTTGATAGAATATTTGGAGGTATCTATGGCAATTCAAATGTAAGAGTTGGAACAGATTTTGAGGGTTTAACTTCTGATTCTGTTTTTTTTCTTTTTAGAAATAAAGGATGTTCTTTAGAATCCTTATTTCCTTCAGTTTAAGGTACAAGTAATTCTTCAATTTATTATTCACTTAATATAGATATGGAACCATTTAACTTTTATAAAATAGAGGATGAGATAGAATGATTCATTGTAGTTAGATGTTTAGGTACTCTCTAACTTAATAGACTATCATTCATATTTAATAGATTATCATTTTATTATTAAGATCTATTAGTATATTAGTTTTATTATTATTATTGTTAATAACTTGAAAGACTCATAGTTTTATTTTAGAATGTATTATTATTTGATGAAGTGCTAGTAATTTATTAGTATTCAATTTTAGTCATTTATACATTTTATTTTTATAATGTTTATTATAATTAAATTGGGTCTTTGATATCCATTAAAGGAAGCAATCTATCTTTTTTCTTTTCTTATTTACCATCATTAAATGTTACACCTTCTTTCATAATAATTAAATCAATTTATGGTACAGATGTTTTGATGGCAAATTAATTATTTTATCCAATATTTTGATTGTTCTTACTAGTTAATTATATAAGTTCTGATTGCATTTTATGATTTGGTATAAGATCTCTTACTTCTACTAAACTACGTTTTTCACTGATATTTTAAAATGATTTTGGATATCTATCAATATCTGGTGGTTTTTATACTACTACTTTACCTTCATAATCAAAAGTATATTTAGATTTAGAATCTACATTTAATCTTTTCAATTATTTGACTTATTCTTATACTTCAAGTATTTTAATTTTATCATTCTATTCTTTTTAGTATTGAATTGAAATTTATCTTAGTTTAGCCTATCTAATGCTTTCAATATTAGGATCAAATTCTTATTCTTCTTCTAATTCACCCATTTTTATTAGCTGAGAATTAAAACATTCACTTTGTCTAGATGTTTTCATGGTCACTAATTTAGACATTCTTTTTGTATCACTTCTTCTAATTACAGGAGATTTTGAGTTTTCTCTAGATGTAACTTATTTTACTTGACCTTGACATCTTCTCCAATGTTCTGTATTTACAGCTATAGGTTCAGAGTCTTCAATTACATTTTCTTCAAAATCATCATTTCTTAAATTATATTCATCCATCAATACAATAACTTATTCTCTAAACCAATTATATCCTAGTAAAGGTAAAATGGAGTTGATATGTTTATTTACAATGATTTATGAACTTTCATGGATTATTTATTTGATAATGCTTTTAGTTATCGTCTATGATTCAACAATTGAAATACAAAGATCTTCATAACATTATACTTATTCCTCCATTAGTAATTTAGATTTATAATTATATTGATATTAAATATAAAACAAATAAATTAAACATCAATTGTTATTTTTCAAGTATTTTTCTTCTAAATATGCATACCTTCTAAGTTCCTTTTCCACCCAATAAGGACAGTCAGGAATTGAAACATCAAGAATATATTTAATAAGTAATAATATATGTTCTATTGCAGCAAGGAAAAATGCACTAACAAGAGCATTTTGATTTCCAATAATTCCCTTAAATTATTCCTTATTAACAGTTCCTATAACTATACAATTCATAAATGTAGCACAATAATTCATTATTTCAAAAATTTACAACCAAATTCCTATTGAATCTGCAGCTTAAGCTCTTTCTCTTTTCAAAATATGTTAATAATTGTAAATTGACCATCTTAAATTGATATAACAATTAATCATAAAAAATAAAGGAGCAGCTGGAAAAGTAGGTGCAAACATAGTTGTATATCCAAATTAGATTGCAATACTTGTATATTCATCATAAAGAACTTTTTATGGTTATTTAATTCGACCTATTTCTAATTCTTAAAGAAATGATAATTATATTTCAGAATTCAATTTATCATTACTGAATTTGGAATTACAAATATTAGGAACTTATTTCTTTTCCTCTAATTTCTATGTAAATATTCTTTTGAATTCTTAAAACTTTTCTTCCAATATTCTTTTCTCTTATTTAAACAAAAAGTAAGGTAAAAAATTACTCTTCACATTTGATATCACTCCTCTAGTTATTATTATACTAGCTACTGATACACTTAATTAAGAAGCATCATTCTCAAATATTGCTACATAAACTACTGATACATATGATATTAGAAATTCAAATAAAAATACTTTCAAAATGTATGAGTATTCCTATTCTGATTCATACATATGATTTTCCCATGTTACCAAAGATGTACACAATCTTTTATATAAATCACAAAACACTGTCATCGAAACTCCATTTAATGAATTAATCACTATTGGCATTATTGCATTATCTTTCCATTCTTATAACCAAAGATTAAATGCATAAAAACTTAATACAATAATTGCTATTCCTATTAAAATTACAGGTCCTTCTGCAATTAATCGTCTCTTAAAAGTAGTAAAATAATCATATATCTAAATCTTATTTGTAGCCTCATTTATAATATATTAACCTGTATACATTACTCTTTAAGGTTATGTTTGTCTAAATTTATGCATATCCCAACAAAATTTCAATTCAGATTCTCTATTTTTCCACTTCTCCATAAATAATGTAGACCAAAGTGTCATTAATAATGCGTAAAAAGGAACTATTGAAGAACTAATATATTCCCTTATTATTCATACTTCACTTCCTCTGTTATAATGATATAAATTCCTAAAGCTGCTCCAAACACTGATGGAATCATCAACCAACCTATTATTTGTACATTTAAGGCTATGTACCATGCAACAACTGGGCCAAAATAAGAGGCAATAGCATGCAATGGTCTTAATGCAATTTATTGTGTTTCATATCGAATCGAATCTTGAATACAATTATTTTGTTATTCATCCCAAAATTAAGTTATCTTTTCACATTTTTATATATCCTCTAAAGGATAATGGGAAATTATTAATTTTTCTAATACAAATTTATCTACATCAAATTCATCATTAAGTGTATTTAATATTAACATTTATACTTGAAGGTCTTTTGGAAATTCAAAAAAACCTCTATTATCATAATTAAATTAACATATATACTAAAATAAAAGATATAATTTACTTTAGTTTAAAAGTTGTAACATGATATCTAATATAAATCTGCTAATTTATAAATAGAATCAGGTGGTAATTTTAATACATAATAATGATAAAGAGATTTAACTTTTTTAGCTTAAGCATTGTCATTGTACATTTCTAATTTATCAAGATTTGGAGCATGAAATATCATAAATTCAAAACTCCATCCTCTATCTTTAAAGGTTTGTCTTATATTTTGTAATTATAGATATACAATATCTTATTCAACACTTAAAGTGCCTTTAGTTTAAATTACATATTAATATCCTAATTCAGTTAAACTACTCATTTATTATTTAATTTAAATATTTTCCTTATAATACTCCATAATATCTTGATTGAAAGTTAATTCGAAAGGTTTGAGACATCTACTGTTTACTGTATCAACAGATACTCCATGTAAGATTAAGGTTTTCATGCATTTATACTTTTCTTATTCTATAGCTAAATGTAAAGCATTTGATGGATTTTAATCTGTCAAAATATTAATACATTCTTTCTATAATATAATAAAAATATATACTTTATCAAATATTTAATCTTTTATTTATTTTTTATATTTTTGATTATTTTCTTCAGAATAATCATAATATTCATAATCTGCTTCTAGAATTATTTTTAATATTTTAAGTTTTCCTTTGAAAGCTGCAATGTGTAGACAATTAAAACCTTAATATACATTGACAAATGGATTGCATCTTCTTTTTAAGAAATATATAAGAAACTCTGTATTACCTTGTCTAGCAGACCAATATTATAATCGACATTCATAGATTTCATTTTTTGTTAAATAAGCTTTGCTATGATAAATATAAAACTTTTCTTATTCTTTTAAATCAATTTTTTCCAAATAATCTTCATTTTAAGATTTGAATCTATTACTTTTATGACGTCTTCTATGATCAAAATTTTTNAAAGCTGCTCCAAACACTGATGGAATCATCAACCAACCTATTATTTGTACATTTAAGGCTATGTACCATGCAACAACTGGGCCAAAATAAGAGGCAATAGCATGCAATGGTCTTAATGCAATTTATTGTGTTTCATATCGAATCGAATCTTGAATACAATTATTTTGTTATTCATCCCAAAATTAAGTTATCTTTTCACATTTTTATATATCCTCTAAAGGATAATGGGAAATTATTAATTTTTCTAATACAAATTTATCTACATCAAATTCATCATTAAGTGTATTTAATATTAACATTTATACTTGAAGGTCTTTTGGAAATTCAAAAAAACCTCTATTATCATAATTAAATTAACATATATACTAAAATAAAAGATATAATTTACTTTAGTTTAAAAGTTGTAACATGATATCTAATATAAATCTGCTAATTTATAAATAGAATCAGGTGGTAATTTTAATACATAATAATGATAAAGAGATTTAACTTTTTTAGCTTAAGCATTGTCATTGTACATTTCTAATTTATCAAGATTTGGAGCATGAAATATCATAAATTCAAAACTCCATCCTCTATCTTTAAAGGTTTGTCTTATATTTTGTAATTATAGATATACAATATCTTATTCAACACTTAAAGTGCCTTTAGTTTAAATTACATATTAATATCCTAATTCAGTTAAACTACTCATTTATTATTTAATTTAAATATTTTCCTTATAATACTCCATAATATCTTGATTGAAAGTTAATTCGAAAGGTTTGAGACATCTACTGTTTACTGTATCAACAGATACTCCATGTAAGATTAAGGTTTTCATGCATTTATACTTTTCTTATTCTATAGCTAAATGTAAAGCATTTGATGGATTTTAATCTGTCAAAATATTAATACATTCTTTCTATAATATAATAAAAATATATACTTTATCAAATATTTAATCTTTTATTTATTTTTTATATTTTTGATTATTTTCTTCAGAATAATCATAATATTCATAATCTGCTTCTAGAATTATTTTTAATATTTTAAGTTTTCCTTTGAAAGCTGCAATGTGTAGACAATTAAAACCTTAATATACATTGACAAATGGATTGCATCTTCTTTTTAAGAAATATATAAGAAACTCTGTATTACCTTGTCTAGCAGACCAATATTATAATCGACATTCATAGATTTCATTTTTTGTTAAATAAGCTTTGCTATGATAAATATAAAACTTTTCTTATTCTTTTAAATCAATTTTTTCCAAATAATCTTCATTTTAAGATTTGAATCTATTACTTTTATGACGTCTTCTATGATCAAAATTTTTTGGAGGTGAAGTTTCTGAATTAAATTATAAAACAGGAGGTTCTGCTATGATTATATTGCATTCATCTGCTTTAAATTGATTTTCTTAATTTTTTTCAGTAATAAGTTTACATGAATTGGAGTTTCTTTGATTTTAATTAAATACTTTAATTTCAGGTATTTTCTCTTCTTCAGGTTCTTTCATTTCAATTCTAGAATCATCATAAAGAGGAACATCAGCAATTTCATCTAAATTTTTTGATTATATTTTTTTGCAACAACTTCTTTATTAAAATTTAATTAATATTTATTAACTCTGAGTTTGATTTTAACTACTTTTAGGTATAGTATTTTTAGAGATAAATGAGTTTGATGTTTGACTTTTATGATAATTTGATATATTAGAATATGGTATCCCATTTTTAGAAGGTTCAGATTCTGGTGTTGAATCATCTTCTTTTATTTATGTTTAAATTAATGGAAGTTAACTCATTACTACTGTAGCTTAATGTTATTTTCCATCTCTTAATTATCTATTCTTTTTCTTTTTAGGTACTCTTAACTTTTTTTTCTTTGGTTTTCTATTTAAAGTTTATTTAGTTGTTACTTAAGCATAATTAATGACAATATTTTCAAATATATCACTAACTTCTTTTCTTATTATTTATATATAAAATTATACTTATATTAATCAGGTCTATTTTCTAGAAACAAGTAATCTATTGGATAATTGCCTTATTAATCTGTTTCTAATTAAAGTTAAAATTTCTTTGAAATTAAAAAATCTACAAGTTCTTTGTTTCCATAATAAAAAGCCCAATGTAAAGGATTTGGCTTGGAAGTATTTGATTATGGAATTAAAGAACCATGTTCTAGCAATAATTTTATTGTATTTTCTTGTTATTCTGGATTATATTCACCAGAATACCTTTAGAATAAATTGTTATATAACATACCCTTTGATGCTTGCTAATTCTAAGGGAGTGTAAGAATGCATATCACCTTTATTTAAGTTTATCATCAATTTGTATTTCTTACACCACCACTTTAACAATTTATATTATCCCAAATAAGCTGCCCAATGTACAACATTTCTTTTTTAATCATCAACCATTGTAAAGAAGTCTGATAATTTATTTTAAGAAAACTTTAACTCATCCTCGAAATGTTTCTTCAAAGTTACTTTGTTTCCATCCTTTACCCATTCTAATAATTAAGTTTGAGTTATTTACATATATATAAAATAATGGAATATTTATTATAAATAACTTATATTATATAAGAACTAATTCATTTTTATTAAGAATGATTAACAGAATTTACTTTAACAATTTATGAATTAATAATAAGAATAAGACATTTTTTTAAGATTTAAATAACATCATTATATATATATTTATATATTAAAAATCATTGATTTGTAAATATTATAATTAAAATAACAAAAATGCTAACAAAGTTGGTTAGTTTGGGTAAAATCAACTCAATGTGCTTCAGATCAGTCTATTAATACAATTTATTTGGTGCACCTTTTGAAGGATTAGATCCAGCAAAACACATCTACATGAATAAAGGACTCTAAAATTGTATTATTTTCAATTAAGTTTTCTAGAATATGATGATCTATTTAGATTAGGAGATTATCCATATGTGAATGATTATCCTGTAATGATCGATTCCCAATAGTATGTACCATAAATTGCTTAATTGGTGGAATCTCATGTTAAATAGAAATTCGTAAGACTTATTAACTATAACAGCAAAATGCAACATTTACTGCTGGTGAATACGATAATGGTGATGTGTGGGCAGCAACTTGGGATGAGCTTGGTGTCAATAATTTCAAAGTTTTGGTTCCAAATCTTTTATTAAGACTTTCTGAATGTAATACTAATTAAATTATATTATTTTAGCTATTGTTGTCAAAGAATCAAAATGGACATGGACAAAAGAATAAAGATATAGATTACATGTGACTTAAACTGTACTTGGTCCATAAGATTATACATAAATGCCTACTTACTATTTCATTAATGATTACAACACTGTACTTTGGATGTTAGCAAGATAATCAAACCATTGGACATCTCCAGCAATTAGAGGAGTTTAAACTCCATTAGAAAAATAATTGGCTTAAGATTTACAACCAAAACCCAAGATTTAATCATTATTCAGAGATAGACCTGAAAATAATACATTCTTAAATAGATTGTTAAAAGCTGTTCATCAATGAATATCAATAAAATAAAGCATATTACAGTATTATTTTTCATTATTTTTGCATCACACTTAATTAATATTTTCTCAATATTAAATTACATTAAAACTAACAATATTTTATTAGTAAATATTATGGTTTCATAATATTTACTAATATCTTAAGAAATAATAACATTAATTATTAATATAAATAAATTACAAAATAATACCTATTTATAATAATATTTTTTATTCTATATGAGTTTAATTTAATTGAAAAGTTTGCAAGAACAAGAATTCTTTTAATCTATCTAATTTTAATCTCTCTCTTATCAGTATATTTTTACTAACAATAAATTAGAAGCAACTCAAAATAATAAATTTAATTTCATTTGTAAAATTTAATTTTAATAATCTTTTATTTGATTTTATTACTTTAAGATAAGATAGACATATATAAATTCAAAATTCAAAATTAGTTTGCAAATCTTGGATTAAATTTTAGTATTCATAATCATTTTTTTCATTTTTTTGATAATTACAATTAATTTAGCAATAAAATATATCCAAGTTTTCAATTCTAAATAATTTGATTTAAATGCTAAATTCATATAGATTAAAATTAAAACCATATTGTACACTCTATTTTTAAATTAATTATTATATTTACTTAAAATGCACTAAATTCAAGTTGGTATTTCTCTTATATATATTTTTATAATCCTTTGATAAATAATTTAGGATGTTTACAAGTAATAAACGATAAATTATATGGACCTTAAAAGGATTCAATACCATTGTTATCTTATAATCCTTATTTTTGAATTTATTTTTAAACTACTTGACTTTTATAGCTATTGAGTCTAAGAGTAAATGTATCTACAATTGTTTTTGAATCTTCAAATTGTATGATATTATTGTCTTCAATCATTTATTACTATATATGAAATGATTATCTCTCAATTTAAACACTTGCTGCTTATTTTTAATGAAGGGTTTTTTTATTTGAAGAAATTAGATTAATAGGTTATTTTATGGAACTTTTAAGTTAATTTGATGTTTTATTTAATAACTATTATTATTATTATAATTATTATTCTTATTACTATTATTTATATGAATTAGGTTATGTTTTTAATGAATGAGATTTTTCTTTATTTTCTTTAAATTACTCTTATATTGCACTCAATTTTGGAGGAGGATTTGAATTCTTTTTTGGTATTTCAGTTTTCATTTAATGACTTATATGAACAGAATTATTGTTAGAACATGCAGTATTAGTTGATCTCATATTTGATGTATTAGTTTGTTTCATGAATTTATTTTCAAAATTTGGAGGTTCATGTAAAGATTTTGATGGTACTGTTTTAGTAATAGGTTTTTTTTAGATAATAGATTATTGTTATTATTAAGTAAGTACTGGTTTTTTTGATATAGGTTTAGTACTTTTGGTTTAGGATGTTTATGATATTTAAGTTGTTTATTTATTAGATTATAAAATGATTGGTTTTTGAGGAGATTCTACTTAAGTCTAAAGATGTTTAATAGATTATATTGATCTACTTGATTTTTATCTTGTTAAAGATCTAACTGATTAGTGATAATCATAAATATCTTATAAATCTTGTTATTCTGAGGCTTTTTATAATTCATCTAAGTCATTTACCAATAGTTCTTTCTAATCAATCAATTATTCTTGCTAATTATCTTCTTAAATTGTTAATATATTATTAGAATGTTATTATTCACAAAGTGGAATTTTATTTGATTCTTAAACTATATCACAACAAGTATTTTCAACTTCTGTTATATTTTAAGAAAGATTAGAATTAAGTGAAGGCTTGTAAATACTGTTTGGTAAAAGAGTATAAGTGATTTAATTAAAAGATGCTTTAAATGGAGAAACTTAAACATACTAAAGAATTATAATAGATTAGATTTACATCTGATTTCCATAATTACCACCACTTATGTGTTTTAATTTATTCTATATTATATCTCTTGTTAGGGTCTACTGTGAGAATATTCTTTATTAGATCTTTGCCATCTAATGAAACATATCTGGGAATATGGAAGTCTGCTGTCAGTATCTTTTTATATAAAACTTAAGTGTTATTATCTTCAAATGGTAAATATCCACAAACCATAGCATAGAGTATGACTCCACAACTCCAAAGATCTGTTTATAATCCATGATATGGTTTTCCTTATATCATTTCAGGTGCTGCATAACAAGGACTTCCACATGCGGTTTTCAAAGTTTCTTCATATATGTTGCTTAAACCAAAATCTACTACAAGGATATTCTTTTTTGCAGTTAACAATAAATTTTCTGGCTTTAAATCTCTATGAACTATTTTCAATTAATGTATGTATTATATTGCTGATATTATCTCATGCAAGAATTTACAGGCTTCAACTTCATTTATTCTACAATACACTTTCTATTAAGTAAATACCTTTTCTTTTAATCTATATAATCAAACAATTCTCCTCCTTCTGCATATTCCATGAATAAATAAATGTGTGTTTCAGTTTCGATCATCTAATTATAATTATTTAAATAACCTCATAAAGTTAAACAACATTTGGGTGATGTAACATTTATAATATCTTGATTTCTCTTTTAACTCTCTCAATATCCAATTCATCATGAATTCTGTTTTTTTCTAAAATTTTAACTGCAACCTCATGTCCTAAAATTTAGTGTTTAGCATAACAAACTTTTCCAAAGGTTCCTTCTCCAATTGTCTTCCCTAAAATTATAATTGTATTTTTATTTTTATACCTATCAGATAATTACCTAATTCTGTCATAATAAAATATTAATGTCTTATTTAAATTCAAATATAATAGATATCTAATCTACACTTTTATGATTACTTTTAAGTTCTTTTATATTACAAAATCAGAAATTAAGATTAAAATATACATAACATTAACATTAACAATTAATGCCATTATTATTACAAATATCAATTAATAAAGTTTAATCTTATTCATAATGAATCCAATAAATATTATCAAATAAAACTTCGATAGGATTTAATATGAAAACAAATATTATTATATATATTGAATTTAAATGTAATCAATTTATTCATAATTTATCTATATATATTCTAATCTCATATTATGAAATAAATAATATGAATAATTATAAAATTCAGAGATTCATTTTAATATTCTTCAAATTTATTATTTATAAAAATCACAAAGAGTGTTGATATACTTAATTATTTCAATTTTCATCTTCAAAATCCATTTCATCTTCTATTAAAGAAGTTTTGACGAATATAATTGCTTTTCTTCTTAAATTTCTTCTAGCATATACTTCTGTAATGCTTTATGAAGAAGTTTATTATTGATTTGTATTTTCATCAATTGAAGCCATGGTTAAGTTATCTATATTATCTAAGCTGTTTTGATTGATATTATCATTATTGTTCTCAAATTGTCTTATATGTATTGTTTCGATCTAATTGTTTGAAGTCGTAACTATTGAGTTTCCCATTATTAAAATAATAAATTATTTATATATATTATCATCATAAATCACAGATTTAATATTCAAAATTTTGTAACTTCAAATTTACATTTAAACTACAATAAATGAATTTTCTTTTACATAACAATTTATTAAACATTTTAATTAGAGGAAATAATTTAAATATGTAAGTTAAAGTATATATTTAGAAGAAAATATAAATCAAAAAAGGTTGAATAGTCGATTTATCATTTTTTGATAAGTCCAATTAAAGTTTGTTAAAATTGATATTGTTCATCAACTTTCAACAATGTTGTTTACTTAGAATTTCTTTTTTTGGTAAAAATTATATCTTGAATCTTAATCTATTACTATTATGATAACTATTTGGAATTTGTCAAAGGAGATAACGGTTTTGAAGAAGTTGGAGGTGATTTTGTAATTTATTATTTTGATTGATCAACATCTTATGTTTGGTTTTATAAAGACCTTTTTTTGTTATTTTTCAAATATAATCGATTTGATTAGTGTTTCTACATAGAGCATCC